CTTGCAGCTGTAATTGCCGCAAAAGGTGGCTCTACAAAGTACTGACTTTAGGGGGGTGAATAATTATGCACGCTGAAGCTTTCTGTTATTTTGTCTTTTTTGTTATTTGCTTCACAATAAAAACAAAATCACATCTTCAAAGTTGTTGGCATGTTCTGTAAATTAAATGATGCAAACCCTCACACAATCCATTTTGATTCCAGCTTGTGAGGCAACAAAGCATGAAAACTGCCAAGGGGGGTGAATACTTTTGCAAGCCACTGTATGGGTGTGTGTGTGTGTGTGTGTTCATAGCCATAAACAAGCTGATCACAGAATAAAGGCCCGCGGCGTCATCGTACCGCGTTCTGAGTCAGTGGATTGCTCCGGTTGGCTTCAGGGAGGAGGTTCTTCGGCGGTCGTACGACTGTGGGCATGATGGGGTTGTGGAGGGCAGTCTCTTCTTCTGTGGGCTCTTCTAGAACCTGGAGAACAGAACCACAGAACGATGTCTTAATGGGCTGAGACTGCATCGAGGTTCGTCTTTTCAAACAAACTGTCGGTCACACGCGCTCGCCGAGCTGCTGAGCTGCTGAGCTGCAGGAACTGACGGGAACTACGACTTCTGCCTTTGCAGCAGCTACTGATGCTGGTGAGATATTTAGCAGAGCATTCGTAAACTGTGGCTTTACACTCATTTACATGTGTTTTAATAAATTACTGAGGATTACGGGAACTGACAAAAAAGGTTCTAATGTAATCCAAAGTCAGGTGCATTAGTGCAAGCGATGCACAAAGTTCGTCTGGAGTCCCGTGAAGCAGTCATGGTACCTGATTTTAGCCAACAACTTGCTAACTAATGTCGTGTTGCAGGCTGGCATCAGTTCTAGCTGAGGTATCTAAACTCTGAGTTCTAAAAACTGGACTTTAATGTGCAGATTTTTGTTTGTTTGAGCCTTATGTTGCGTTTCATAAACCCTCCTACACCTCAGCTCTGCCATCCCGGTCAAATAATAAGAGCAAAATTGCCAGAAAAATACTTTAAACTGAAGCTAATTAATAAGAAATAATAAAATGCACTAGAATGGCTCCACAACGCAGCGTCACATCACCACTGGTCAGTTCTTAGAGCGGTATAACTGGTTCAGGTCAGAGCGTTTGCTCACCCAGTCTGTAGCACTGAACATCTTGAGGTCCAGCGGGTCTCCAGACAGCTCCCCTTCTATCTTGGTCAGCGAGTGGCAGGTCGCCATGCAGGCCACAAACGCAGAGTTCACCAGACCTGCTTTAGCCGCCTCCAACTCTGGTGGACAAAAGCTGCAACGGAAACCAAGATCTGACTCAACAGCTGGACTCTTTATAACAACTACAGAGAGGAGAAAACCATCAGATTAAGATGCTGAGTTAAGTTCACTTGTCAAATGTTAGAGATAAAAATCAAAGCATCCTGCTGAAGCCGTTGATAATAACTGCACCAGCAGACACACAGCTCTGGAATCATGTCAGCAAACTAAGTTCTTGGATGTGTTGGAGTCTGCTAACGCGATTATTTCTTTTAGTCGACACAATGACTGACCAGGATCAAACAGGAAGCTCTGCTTTATGCAATAAAGTGAATTAAAGCCCTGATAAATGGAAAAGTGACACCGTTAGTACCACGCTCTGTGGTAGAACAGTATCTGGAGCTACTCTGTTTATTGCCGCTCGCTGATCTGCCAGAAAACCAAAAGAAAACAGCAACAGTGGTTCAACTGTGAGGCCAAAATCTCTGACAGTTGGGTAACTGTTGTAATTTCACATTAAATATTGTCACTCTGGCATTCAAACAGGCAGAACACTGAACTCACAGAGTCTGAAAAGCCTGCAACAGTCCTCACACATCTCCAGACTGTTGATGCTGTTTTCTGACGACTTTGAAGAAAACCGATCCCGACACGAAAGGCAACAAGCCCAAAGGAGTCGCCTCGTACTTTACCTGTCGCCTTCAGCTCTCTGAATGCCCCACAGGTCCAACCCGTCCTCGGTGAGCGTCCCTGTCTGAGGGGAAAGAACAGAGAGTTAGCTTCATATTACTCAAACACCCATCTCTGCATCATCTCTACACCTTAATCCTCACTAGAGTGGTGGGGGGCTGGAGTCTATCCCAGCTGACTCAGGGTGAAGGCAGGTTCACCTGGACAGATAACCAGTCTATCACAGGGCTACACTTAGAGACAGACAACCAAGCACACTCACATTCACACCTACGGACAATCTACAATCACCAATTAACCTCAGCATGTTTCTGGACTGTGGGAGGAAGCCGGAGAACCCGGAGAGAACCCACGCTGCATGGGGAGAACATGGAGACTCCACGCAGGAAGATCCGGGGTGTCCTCACCGGGACGCCAACCGGCGACCTTCTAGCTGCGAGGCCACGGTGCTAACCACCAAGCTACCTTGCAGCCCAGTCCAGGAAATCAAGCAAAAAAATAAATAAATAAAAATTCCCAGAGTAGGTTTGGTCCCACATTTACATCCTAATCAGAGCGCTCCATAACCGCTGGCCGCCAGCCAAACACACGACTGCTCGTTTACTGTAAGTCCAGCTGCAAACTTTATGACATGATAATTATTGACTGGCAATAAAATAGTTTTTATTAATAGGCGTGCACACTTTACGACCGTGCGAGCCCACGTCTGTATCACTCCTGCCTACATGTGCTCGATATGAATGTCCTGTCAAGTAAAGAGCAGAGTCATCTTCAGTGTTTTGCATATATTCACAGCATAACTGATGACAGAACCTATTAAAAACGGCATTAATTACACAGATGGGGGTCATCCTCATCACATGGGTTACTCTGGAAGATGCCAAAGCATGATGATTGCACAAAAAGCTGTATTTTTCAGACATTTATGGCCTAATGAATGAAGAAATGGATGAATTATATATATGTTTTTATTATGCTTTTTCCTCTAGAAGATGACAGGAAGTTGAATTGATTTTGACGTAGGTTCATATTGAGCATCACTGTGGCATGTCAGTATAATAATAATAATAATGAGGTCAAAGGTTCTGACTAGTCAGGAAGAGGTATGGTTTTAAATATGGACTGAAACACACAAGAATAGTTTACTACATGTTTACAATCACAAACTCATTAAAGTCTGCGATCGGTGTATTTCCCCTCTGGTTCTTCTACATCCATCTGGAAAGCCTCGATGACTTTGGCAACTTACTCAAACTCTTTATTTACTCAAGAGAAGTCAGCTACAGCTTGCTATTTAAATAACATAGACAAGTAACACAACTGCAACTTAAAAAGTACTGAAATACATCTGCTTCTTCAAACTTATTATCAAGATAAAACCATCTCAGTTTGGTGCAGAACATTACTGCCGACTGATGTCAGCTATCCAGAGAGAAGTTAAATAGTTTGTTGTTCTTTTTAAACAAAGACATGATTCACAGCAACTCAGATCCCTCACAGACGACCGTTCGTTCAACCCCAACGAAGCTGAAAGCAAATTACTATCTGCAGTAAATCGAAAGAAAAAAGTGCAAGTGACTTTCAGTTTGCTGTTTTTGTCCGATCCACAATCATCAGTTTGTTCTCACAGAACACGTCAATCAAGCGGGTAATAATCACCTCAGGTTTCAGCTCTGGTTTGTCCTTATCGCATCAACAACAACAACAAGAAAAAAAAGGAAATACTGTTCAAGCACTTCCCATAACGAGGGAATGTATAAAGCTTGACGCTGCACACTTGCCAGCGCTGCCCTCGAGACGACTGGATTATTCTGGATTTACCATGCAGTCATGGGTTTTTAATGGGCTCAATCCAAATTTCCATGCATTCTGACTGACAATTAAACAGTGTCTGAGGGAAGCACGGCTTCCAGAAACAGTTATAAAACACTTTCTGAATACCAACCGTGGAAATACATTGCTGAAAGTGTATATCCTGAAATTCAGAACAGGCTGCGTGACATGCCAGCTGTGGGTTAAAGCACCTTGTCAAAGCAAACCACGTTGATTTGCCCACACATGTTGATCCTCTGGGGGCTGATGCAGAAGATGCCAATTCGCTTCAGGCGCCGCTGCGCGAACACGATACCAGCCGTCATGGCTGCCGGTAAGGCCGGCGGCACGGTGATGGTGATGATGTCCAGAGATTCAATGACGATCGTATTGGCTGGAACCTGGATGGGTTCAAAACAATGACTATCAGCGGCTCAGATTTAGTGCATTTAGGACATCTGAATCTCCGAGAGCAGCGGTACCTCGTTGATGACACTGAGGATGATGGTGTAGATGAAGCCGATCCCTGCAACTCCAACCAGACACAACAGGAACAGGTACGCATCGCGGTACAGCTTGAAGTCTGTGGGTTTGGGGTAGAGGATGGAGCGCACCAGCTGGCCTTTCTCTGTACTGAAGCCTGTGGAGAAAAACACAAGTAATATAAGATACTGCAGCTGATCCGTCTGGAAGTTAAAACAAGGCCATAAGGTGTTATCCCCGTCTCACCTGTTCGGACCACAACAGCCTTCACGAGTTCACCGGCGTAGAAGCGGGTCTGGATGACGTGGGTGCCACAGAACAGGGTGTGTTTCTTGTGTTCCTCGATATCGTAGGTCCTGTCGGCCTCACTGTCTGAGCTGGGAAGACTGGTTTTGGTGACTGGCACGCTCTCTCCTAAAGATCAAACAAGAACAACCGATGTCCAAGTCTTAAACCAAACAGTTGCTAACATGTTGTGCAAAAATGCAAACAAAGATCCAGTAAGTGATGAAAGCTGGGATAGACTCCATCCCCCCACGACTCCAGTGAGGATTAAGGTGTAGAGATGATGGATGGATGGATGGATGGATGGATGGATGGATGGATGGATGGATGGATGGATGGATGGACGAATTCTAAAGAATTTGTCACCAAAGAAATACAAAGTTCAATATCTCAAGGAATACAACTCCCAGTGTCCTGAAACAGACAAAATTGTTTCCAGCAGATCTTAGTGGTTGAATGGCTCCAGCAGAGTCCCATCCATCCATCCATGCATCATCTCTACACCTTCATCCTCACCAGGGTCATGGGGGGCTGGAGTCTATCCCAGCTGACTCAGGGTGAAGGCAGGGGACACCTGAGGGCTACACTTAGAGACAGACAACCAAGCACACTCACATTCACACCTACGGACAATTTACAATCACCAATTAACCTCAGCATGTTTTTGGACTGTGTGGGAGGAAGCCGGAGAACCCGGAGAGAACCCACGCTGCACGGGGAGAACATGGAGAATCCACGCAGAAAGATCCCTGGTGTCCTCACCGGGACGCCAACCGGCGACCTTCTAGCTGTGAGGCAACGATGCTAACCACCGAGACACCTTGCAGCCCATGCATGCATATTCTCTACAACAAATACAGTCTTTGGTCAACATTTCACCAACTTTTAAGGCCTCTAACATCAGCAGGCTTTGATGTGTGGCGAGACAAGGTTCAAGTTTTTTGCTCTTCAGACACATTGTGCATTTTAAAATCCTTCTTTAGATTTTAGGCTGCTTTTTAGCTGAAACCACTATTATTAATCATGGCAGTTGCCAATACTGTTGCAGCTACCTTTCCAAAACTGCTATGAAACACTTTTCTCCGTTACTAGCACTGTGGACAGGAGTGAAATATCTCACCTGTCAGCATGCTCTCGTTTACGATGCAGGTCCCGTGGAAGAGCACGGCGTCGCACGGCATGATCATCCCGTTGGCCGGGATGACGATGACATCACCAGGCACAAGCTCTGTCGACATGGCCTGTTCGATATCTGTGATGACAGACGTGAGAAGTTCTATCACGCACTCTCTCTCTGTAGGCAGGCACAACACACTGATGTATGTATTATTGAATAATGAGCAATATATAAAAAGGTGTTGAGCCTAAGGATGCAATAATAAATCACACATATACAAATATAACAGGTTTGCTTTCACTCATGTGATCAATGCAGCTCTGTTCTGTGATCAGAAGTAGAAACGTGCCTTCGTTTCCTCTGCACACCGACACACGGACCACGCTGTGCGCCGCCACCATGTCGTGCAGCATCACGTATTGCTGAAACAAGAGCGAAACTGATTCAGACGGAGAGACAGATCGTCAGGACAAAATATTCAGCCCCCTTAACAAATCTGCACAAATCGACCTCGAGCAGGTCGTCCAGAAAAACGAAAAGAAGAAGGCTAGCGAGGGAGGCCACCGAGACATCTATGACTCCTCTGACGGAGCTTCAGTGGATGAGACGGGAGAGGCCGTCCACACAACGCCCTGCCTGTTCTTCACCAGTCAGAGCTTTAGTGGCAAAGAGAAATCCACTGTTTAAAAAGCTGATTAAATCTCAAGTAGGGATCGCCAGAGGGCATGTGGGAGTCTGACAACTGGAAGAAGGTTGTTTTTTTGGTTTACAACCAAAATTGAGCTTTTTGACCATCCGACTAGACGCTGTTTATGCTCAGAGCTATTGTAAGAACACTAGCTGTGGTATTCTTCATGCATGGAGGTGGTTAATGGATTTGGAAGGACATAATTTGGGCTACAATGACATAGATGACTTTAGCAGGCATGAGAGTTGTGCATTAGTGAAGAAACGAAACCGACTCGGACTGTGGAGTCTCCTGCGATCACGGTCATGGGGTGGGAAAGCGTGGAAGCTGAAATACCGCACATCATCCCCACCGTGAAGCATGGCGGTGGCAGCATCATGATGTGGGGATGCTTCTTTGCAGGGTTAGGGTTTGGAAGGACGGTAAAAACTTAGGCAATCCCTTTTTTTTTTTAAATATATTTTTTTGGGCTTTTGCCTTTATTTAGAGCAGTATAGAGAGACAGGAAAGGGGGGAGAAAAATGAGGGAGAGACCTGCAGCAAAGGGTCATGAGCGGGATTCGAACTCACAACCGCTGCGTTGGGGACTGTAGCCCCTGTTCATGGGTCACCCGTTCAACCAGGTGAGCTATACGGGCGCCCTCCCTTTTTTTTTTTTATGTAATATTTATAAATTAACTGACACTACTTTGTGCAAATCTGTTTTTATTTTCTTTTACTGTTTTCGTGTTGAACATCCTAGGGGGCTGAATACTTTTTAACAGGCACAGTTTCTGGGAAAAAACAAAAAACAAAAATGCCCCTGAGCAATTATAAAATGTTCTGATAAAACAACAGCACTAAAGCCAAAGAAAATAACATTTGATGAAAAAGAGCAAAACTCTGCAATGAGGCTACAAAGCAACAACATCTCTGTTCAAGTCACACTTTTCTCAGACTCACCTTTTTAACCGTGTACAACGTGGCGGCGATTGAAATGACGGACATGAGGACTATGGCTGATGCGTAATAGTAGTAGGAATCCGTACTCCACAGAATAACACTGAAGAGCTGGAAGATGTAGAAGGGGTTCAAGACCTGATAGAAGGAAAAAAACAGACAGAAAGCATGAGGACAGGGATTATCTGTCACAACTGTTCACAACATATCCATTGCCCTTTCACATTTAAATGACTTTTCTATTTTGTGGAAATGTCAATATCACACTTGATTATGTTCCTTTAATTGCCGCCAGCCAAAACTGTAATTAGATTCTATTAATCGTTCTTCTGATGAGCTGAAAGAAGAACTTCGACATCCTCGACACTCACCTCCTGTATGAGCAGCTTGAACAAAGAGGGCACTATCACGGCGATCTCGTTCTCCCCGAAAAACAACCTCCTGATGAAAGAGAGTGCGTGAAATGTGTCATGATGCTGGTATGACCTCCGCTGTTTTTTTTTTAAAAACTAAGAGTGTGAGTAGAAGGCAACTGGATTTCTCTCTTTTAAGATGTTTGATCTGTCGGCCAACAGACGCCAAAGACGTGCCTCGAAGTGTGAATTAAACTGTCTGGAGGGGTCTCAGGCCTGCGTTATGAGCAGCTGATAAGTGGAGTCACAGACCTCCTGCTCTGTTTACAACACAGATGGCCTCCTTCACTCCTTTCTCAACCATAAATATCTTCCCTGTCCAGCTTACAATATATATCTGGGACTCCCCATCAGTCAGCTACAACTGAAGAAGCTCCTTAGATGGGATGTGAAATATCCTCAGAAACCTAAACGAGAAGTCGAGCTGCCTTCGACTGAAGCTCTGAGGATTACACGACCTGGATGACTGAGAATCTACAGAGACACAAACAAGAATTTAAAAAGCCGACATGTACCTGTAGTCCTGCAGCGCTTTAGAAAGCCCAGAGATGTGCTCGGCGTGGATGCCTGCACAGGTCACCTTTACATCCTCCAGGCCTCTAGAAAAGGATCATACAGTCATTTCTCCTGTAGCTGTGCAGAGCAGCAACATATTTGATGCACACTGTACCAGCAAGTCCTCGTACAGACTTGGTATATTTGAAATGTTCAGGCATTTCTGCTTACTGACACCACACCAGGACTCTCTTACTTGTACACTTCAAAGTTCTGCATCACATCACTCCAGTAGTATTTGGTGCTGTGGTGGACAAAGTACTGGACCTGCGAGGGGGAAAGGATATCGAGATGTTGACAACAACTTAACAAAACAGGACCTAAACAGGTGTTCAACAGGGTTCAGATCTAGGGGTTGTGTAGGTCTTAAACATACCAGTTACATACGTTGGCTGTTCAGCTATGAAATATGAATTTACATCAGATTAGTAGCAAACAGTAAGAAAAGGCGACGGATCCCTGCTGAGGTACCTGAGCAGGTTCCCTGTGAGGAAACTTCCCACGATGCTCTGCATGCGCAGCGCTGGGAATGTGGTCGCCGTCTCCATTTGGCAGCTGGGCTTTGGACAGCAAACCCAAATCATCAAAGGGCTTCTTCCCGGGAGCCAACATCACATGTACTTTGGCCCGAAACCACTGTTTGAACTCATCCTGTGAAGACAAGACGGAGAATTAAACGTTTCCTGGCTGTGAAGTGCAGCAGTGTGCCAAAGAATGCAAAAAGCGGTTAAACTTGTGCAGCAGCGCGAGAATAAATTCACACAGATGGGTGACAAATCAAAAGACAGTGACTCATGACTCGTCGCTTCCTATTTTTACACTCAGAAGTGCTTTTATCTCTGTAACGAGGGTTTATCAGCTGCAACACTACACGTCCGGCACTGATGCTACCTGAGGAAGAGCTGCTCTTTTTCTTTACATGTTGCACTAATGCACGAGCATCGCGGTCATCACATATATGGATCAACATTCCTGACCCTGTTTGCAGATGTTTTTTTCCCACAGATCTAAAAGCAGATAGTCATTGTTCCTACTGAAGTCAGTCAAGCCGTTCTTGTGGCTGAAGCTCCTGCCATCTGTGCACCGACAGTGAACCCTCTTTCAAAGTCACTTAGATCTTCCCCTTTTTTTTAATCATAATATAAAAAAAAAACATCAGACTGCTCAGTATCTTCATACATCCCTGTGACTAAATGCATTGGTCATTTTTTAGCTTTGGAACAACACTGACATTTCTTGGCATTTTCTGACATTTTACAGACCAAACAACGAATGGATTCATCACCGCGACTCACAACTAATCTCTAACTATTCCAATTCGATTAACTCACTTTCCTACAACTTTATAGACACCAAGTTATACAAATTCTTATAATAAATGGAACCACTGTGTTGTGGTGTAAAGCCACCTGACCACTAAAGAAACAACATGTCTGTGGACGCAATCTCACAAATTCAGTGTTTTTTATAAGACTTTAATATCACTTTAACACTCATTGTGTTCTACAGTGGGACTACTTTAACACTATTTAATGTCATAGTGAGTTAAAAAAATAAGCAAAAGTGGCATAGAGATACCTAAATAGTCACTTATTCTTGTAGTTTAATCATAGCAGCTGGACTTGCTTGAGTTTCTTGAAGACGTTTGAAACCAAAACTCCAATGTCTCCTTCAGGATATCAGTATCTGGAAATCCCAACTAGTCAGGCTGATGAAGCCTCTTGGATGAGAGGTGGAACGTCTTCAAGGAACTCAAGCAGGTCCAGTTGCTACGATTAATCTACGAGAAGAACCATGACCCGGATGACTGAGGATCTTCATCTAAATAGTCACTACGTTTGCTATGACACACCTTATATCACCATCTTGAACACCATCACAGTGTGGGGTTGCAGATGCTGCTTGACATGTTCAGCGATGCAGGAGCACTGGGAGCAGAGCGTTGCTGCACGAGGGGACTACCTCAAAGTGGATGATGGTAAATGGTCTGCACTTATATAGCAAAGCGCTTTACAGTGTGTTTCTCATTCACCCATTCACACACACATTCATACACCTGCCTGGTGCTTGGAGCAACTTGAGGTTCAGTGTCTTGCCCACTTAGACTGTGGAGAGGCCGGGGATCGAACTGCCAACTTTACAATCACAGGATAACCGCTCTACCACCTGAGCCACAGTCACCCGATGATGTAACTCAGGTATAGTTTGGGATTTTTCCAGGTTCAGTCTTGCAACTTTTCGATCATCCCTTACATACTCTTACTTCTACTGAAACAACGTACGAGAGGAAAACATGATCGGTCTGCCGTTTTCTTACCGTCGTCCTGAGCAGCAGCGTCTGAGCGTCCCTCAGAGAGGTGGGCGTGCAGGTGCCCTTGACGCCCCACTCAGGCAGCCAGTAGAGCAGCAGCAGCAGGAGACCGCCGGAGCAAACTGCACCAACACCCACCAGGACCATCTTCCACAGACAGGGCCGGTACCCCCACACCTCCTGCACAGGCACACACTCATGTTACCACACTGAAGGAGAAAATGCACGGCTGCACAAAACTCATGTAAAAGAAGACACCTGGTAATTAGAAGCAATATAACATGAGCAGTTTACTACATATGTGTTGAGGACAGCAGTGGGGCTCACTGGGGTGGACGAAGCAGAGAGGAATGAAGTCTGTCGGGTTTAACAACAGACGGTACTTCTTTGTGAAATTAGGTCATTGTTAATTTAGTTTATTCCGTTCTCATCTGGGCTGCAAGGTCGCCTCATTTTCGGTGACCCGTAGCTTCATTTACATGTAAACCAAAGGCCCAGACGCATTGAGATATCACCATTTCTGCTACGTGTAACCAGGGCCTGAGTCAGCTGGACTCCAGCCCCCCTAGTGAGGATTAAGGTGTAGAGATGATGGATGGATGCTTTAAAGCAGACACATCCAGCAGACTACTGCCTCATCCTCATGGTGACATTCTATGGCTGCCATACTTTAATCCAGCTATACCAATGTTTGGCAAATCCTCTGTCATGAGTTTACAGAAACAGTTCAACATTGTGTTCAACATGAAACACCATGTCTGAACAGTGGACACACAGCCCTCGGCCCGCCAATAGAATCACAGCAGAAGCAGAAGACGTGAACCGCTATCATGTCATCAACAGACGCTGCGATGCTTCCGACAGCGTTTCGACCCTTGTCTTCAGGGCCGAGTCTTTTCTTAGCTTCCAGTGAGAAAAAGAAAAAAATATGAGCTCAAACCACGAAATCTTTTCAGGGCAAACGGAAACATGTCCGTTCCACTTATGCACACAATCACAAGTTTTTTTTTCTCGAGAAGTAACTGCGAGCGATCGGCCTCTAGGAAATGTTTTCCAGTTTAATTTTAGAGTTAATGTGGTTGTTTTTCAGAATTACTGGGAGGCTTAGCAAAGCTTCGAGCGGCGATGGAAAAACTGTGAAGGACGGAGGTTCATGAACGAACACATGCCACGTGCCATGCCGACATTTGAAGACCGTCCAGACAAAAGACACAGAAGAGCAAATCCTGCTGACATATGCATTATGTTTAGTTATTTCTTGAATTGTCACCTGCATGAATCTTGAGTTTTTCTGTTTTTCAGATGAAAGATTGTATAAAATTCAGCAGTATGGAAGAAACTAAGTGTTTGACACTTAAGAGAGGTATAAAACCATCTGAATGAAAGTGTAAAACTGTTGCCAAAATCTGAAAAGTTCATTTAAGCTCCATATTTTAACCCACAAACACACCACACACCTCCAGCTGTGATCTGTGGCCGTCTTTCTGCTAACTAAAGATCACAAACCATGCTGGTCTTCTACTTCTACGAGAAACTGTCAACATGATGCACCAGTGAAAGCAGAAGAAGAACGTATTCACCATCTCGTCCTCCAGGCCCTGGTTGATGATCTTCCCCTCTTGCGTCTTCATCCCGTCAGACGTGCAACAACTACGAGATGAAACAGATTGTTTATTGTCCAGCGCGTGTTTTACCTCCCGCCGCTTTTTATCGTCACAGGAAGTCTTTCATTCTGGCTGTTTAGCAAAGTCGTGGTAACTTTGATCCCAGTCAAGGTCACGGTTATATAATTCAGACTCTTCAAGCGTGGCAAAGCAACACTTAATGAACCATCTACCTTCACGGTAGACACGGTTGATCGGCACATTTCCTGCTCGGTGGTTAAAGCACCTGTTTATTGTTTTACTGCTCCTAGAGTTAATCTATTCTGTGGGACTTGGGACAGTTTTATATCCGGGACTGCTTGTGTCTCAAAAACATGTCCACTAACGTAGAAGAATAAAGGCTGATGCTTCCTTATCCAATCATATTGGTGTGAGAAGTATTAAAAACAAATACTGACATGTCTGATGTGCAGGCGTGTAACCACAATGTTTGACTTTTTAAAGGGAAAAAAAGGATAAATTCTCTGATTCCAGCTTTTTAAATGTGAATATTTTCTGGTTTCTTTCCTCGTCCGAGGCGGTAAATTGAATATCTTTGGAGCGAGGACAAAACGAGACACTTGTCATCTTCTAGCTCTGGGGAAACGCTGACATTTTCACCATTTGAAGACATTTCACAGACAAAACAACCAATCAATTCATAAAGCGACTCACAGCCAGACTCGCGACACATTCACGCATTCCTGCAGCTTTACTGGCACCAGGTTACTCCTCATAATAAAGGTGACCTGCTGCTGTGTTGTGGTGTTGGGCAACGATCCAGCGCGGTAATACATCTAAACCTTTGCACTATTCAATAATAATCACACCCACAGTAATGTTTGACTGACTTGACCTGACCTCTTAGAAAACAACATGTCTGTGAACGCAACCTCACAAACTTCAGCGGCTCAGATAAGACTCCTGGTGTGACGGCGTGTTTTGAATATTACACAACAGTCTGGCAAACTACTTCAGCAAAGGATAAATACATACAAACAGGACTTCAAGATGCCTAAATAGTCCAAACTCTTTCTCCATCACAGCTCGTACCTGTACAGCTCCTCACAACAGCGTGGACACCATCACACGGCGGGGATGCTTCTCAGGTCCTGGAAGGCTTGAATGAAAAGAAGGAAAGAAAATAAGAAATCCCAAGTCAATCCAAAACTGGTTCAAAGGCAACAATTCCCCACAACGGTGTCCTGGAGCGACCAGATTTCATCCGATCCAGAATTTGTGGCAGGAATTCAGATGAGCTGCTCGAGCATCCAGACATGACAGGAGTCCAGACGCTCTGCACAGAACACACCAGTGCTGACTTGGATTTATTCATTCACAGTCATGGGTGCGACCGCAGTAAAAGGTGTTTCTACCACTTAAGTGGGTTAGTGAATCCAATTAACCCATCATAAATCCGAGCTGTAAAGCAATAACACAGTCCAGTCCAGGGAGGAGGAGGAGGAGGAGGACACTGATCATCCTGCCTTTCAATAAGAAGCCTAAAGGTTTCCAATCAGAGTGGAGCAAACGTAGACTTTCACTGTTTCAGCTCAGGATCCAACTAAAGCCATTTCCAGTCGCAGGTTGCAACTTTCATCAACTCCACGCAAAGTCGTGCAACAGTTTGGGAAGTTTGGGGAGTGAGAAGAGGCGCGTTGGCTTCAATCCTCCCACAAATGTCACAATTTGAGCGTAAATGTGCGTCAAACACTTACCGACCCGTGTCCTCTTCGGTATCACCAGGTCGGACCCTGCATGGCTACAGCGGCCCAATCTGCGCGTTAAAAGTTGTGCCGCCCCCGTGAAACACTGCAGCAGCGTGTGTGAGAGGAAACAACAGAGATCCACGCTGCGCGGCGGCCGGACGGACCGTCCCAAACCGGTCCGTGCCAAACCGGTCCATTCACAAGGAAGTGGGAAAACAGGATGTGAGGTCATTGGAGGACACCGCGTTTTTGGGCCCAATCTCTGCGAGTTGCAACGAATCGGAGCTGCAGCGGCGAGCGGACAGTCTGCGGCGGAGCTGCGACTCAGCTGCTGCTGCTGCTGGGACAAAAAAAAAAAAAAGTGACCGCTTGGGGGGGAAAAAAAAGACTGGGAGAACTTTTACACATGTTTCTGGATTATCTTGCAAGCCCTGTGCTCTCAAGTGCAACCAATCCAGCTGTTTCCACTAGTTGATGCAGCTTTAAAGGGCCAGTTCAACTCCTGTGTGGCAGTTTTCCACCAACCAACAAGTGACTTCATCCAAACGACTGATTTCATCCCTGAAGGTTATATTTAAGGATTATAGCCCACATGATGTTTGCAAAACAGATTATTTCATTATATATGCCACTTTCCAACTATAAAAAAGGATATTAACACATGTGGTCCACCTTTCTTGCTTTTCAACATGGAAATTGAAAAATTCTTTAATATCAGTTCATTAAAAATCTAAAATGTAATTTGCATAAATATTCTCCGCCTTCAAGTCACAGCTCTGAGTGTCTCACTCAGCCTTGCACATCTGGATCATTTTTTGCTTTAACCGTATGTTTCAGGTCATCGTCTGGTTGGAAAACAAACCTTCTCCTGTGCTGCAGGTTGCATGATTTCCTGATGTTTTATGATGCTTTGCTGCGTTTGTTTTACCCTCCACCTTTACAAACCTCCCAGCGCCTGCTGCCAAGAAGTATCCCCACGTCATGATGCTGCCACCGCCGTGCTGCACAGTGGGGATGGTGCGTTTGTGATGATGTGCAGTGTTTCCTGTCCACCAGTGCGTCTAGTCTGACGGCCAACGGACTACAGAACCTTTCTCCAGTTGACTCCAGCGTGTCCCATTGTGGAGAACTCTAGTCCAGATTTAATATGAATGGCTTTCTCTTTGCCACATTACCATAAATAAAAATCTCTCCCATCTCAGCAGCTGAAGCTTGTAGCTCCTTCAGAGAAGTCATCGGAGTTCTGGTGGCCTTCCTCTCCTTCTTGTCACTCTAAGCAGATTTATACCTGAGCCATACTCGTTCCGTTCCCTTATGATGGATTCAACTGCACTCAAACGGATGTTCAGTTCTTGTACCTCTGTACTTGGGCTTTTAAGGGCCTCTTCACAGCATTGACTGAAGTGTTCTTTTGTCTTCACGGTGAAGTGATTCACCAGAAACTGGACCTTCCAGATACGCTGTCTCTATACTACAGTTACATATAGGACGCTTTCACTGCAAACTGTGGGATTTCTATCACCAGCTGGTTGCACCTGTGATGAATTGGATAAAATAAAATAAAATAATTTAAAATACTTTCTTTACATTTATATTTTAGATTATTTTAAACAAGCTTGTAAAACTCTGTTGTCAGTTTTTTACAAGTCTTTTCCTAAATTCTTGTCTAAAAAGCCAAATTTAAAAAAAAAACTGATCATGACTCAGTGTTGAAAAGCAACAAAGGGGGAAATTTGTATACTTTTCACAGGAACTATACACATATGAGAAACATTACTATAGTACTGCCTATTATCAAAAAATCCATGCATGATTATGTTACAAACTGTAAACGCCTTCTTCGGTCGAGTTTATTTACTGGAGCTGCAACGATTCATCGATCAGTCATCAACTATTACAACTGTTCTGGTAACAGATTTATCAGTTTGAGTTTCTTTAAGAAAAAGAGTCGAAGTTCTTTCAGTTCAGCTTCTGAAATTTAAATGTTTTTGTGGTTTTTTTTTTTTCTCCCTGTGACACGTGGATAACCCTCTCGGTTAATGAAAGAAAAACCAACAACGGTCACAGAAATTAACTTGAATCTGACAAAAGTAATAATAAATACAAATTCTATGAAAACTAACCAGTGAAGATCAGACATTGCTTTTGAATCGTGGGTCAACAGAATTATTTTAAAAAAGAATTTCATGAAACAGGCCTGGACTAAAATGATGGTACCCCTAGAAAAGTCTGACAATAATGTGACCATAGGGACATGTTCAATCAAGGTGTGTCCTCTAATCAGCATCACAGGTGTCTACAAGCCAAGGAGAAAGCTGTCTCTGGAGATTAGACAGAAAATGATAGAGCAGCATGTTAAAGGTAAAGACTACCAGACCATCTCCAAGCAGCTGATGTTCCTGTGACTACAGCTGCACAGATTATTCAGAAGTTTAAGATCCATGGGACTGTAGCCGACCTCCCTGGACGTGGCTGCAGAAGGAATAGGATAATACGAATGGTATCAAAAGAGTCCAGAACGACCTCTAAAGACATTAAAGGTGAACTCCAAGGTCAAGGTCCATCAGTGTCAGATTGCACCATCCATCGTTGTTTGAGCCAAAGTGGACTTCATGGGAGACGACCAAGGAGGACATTGTTGAAAACTAATCATATAAAAGCCAGACTGGAATTTGCCAAACTGCAAGTTGACAAGCCACAAAGCTTCTGGGAGAACGTCCTCTGGACAGACGAGACCAAATTGGAACTTTTTGGCACATCAGCTCTATGTTCACAGACGCACACATGAAGAACAGAACACTGTCCCTACTGTGGAACATGGAGGAGGTTCTGTTATGTTCTGGGGCTGCTTTGCTGCATCTGGCACAGGGTGTCTTGAATCTGTGCAGGGTACAATGAAATCTTAAGACTATCAAGGTATTCTAGAGAGAAATGTGCTGCCCAGTGTCAGGAAGCTTGGTCTCAGTCACAGGTCATGGGTCCTCCAACAGGATAATGACCCAAAACACAGAGCAACTAAAAAACACCCAAGAATGGCTGAGTGGAAAACACTGGACTGTTCTGAAGTGGCCTCCTATGAGTCCTGATCTAGATCCTACTGAACATCTGTGGAAGGAGCTGAAACATGGTGTCTGGAGAAGGCAGCCTTCAGATCTGAGACAGCTGGAGCAGTCTGCTCATGAGGAGTGGACCAGAATACCTGCTGAGAGGAGCACAAGTCTCACTGACAGTTACAGAAATGGTTTGATTGCAGTGATCGCCTCAAAAGGTTGTGCAACAAAATATGAAGTTAAGGGGACCATCATTTTTATCCAGACCTGTTTCATGAGTTTATTTTTTTTTAAATAATTCTGTTGAACCACGGTTCAAAAGCAACGTCTGATTTTCATTGGTTCATTTTCATAGAATTTTTATTTATTATTACTTTTGTCAGATTCAAGTTATTTCTGTGACTGTTGCGGGCTTTTCTTTCATTAACTGAGGAGGTTGTCCACATGAGTTTATCTTTGGGTTGTGGTCAAGACATTTGTCATCTTAGAATGTAGGAACCAGTGATGAACCTTCCTCACAACTTTCTGACATTTTGTAGACCAAACAACTCATAAGCAGTAATAATTGTTAGCTGCTGCCCCAGTTACAAGAAACCATTCACAAAGGCGTGCCTGTTGCAGCAGTGTGGACATCAAACTCCATGTATCTAAATGTTGTGATTGCTTGACCTTGATAGAATGTCATATGATCAACTTTGACATCCACACAGCCTCTCTTCCACATCTGAAGACGTGCGGCTCATTGGTCGGACACATGGCATGTTGGAGCCGGAAGACCGGTGCTATTTCAGGTCAGTGGCAAAGAAGAAACAGTCTGTGACTTGGCTGAGATCTCACTAAGTCCTGGGTTAACCTTCCGCATCTTTATCACACTGTTACACCAAAACACCAACAAAAACAGAAGAAATAAACGTCTCCTCACATGAGAAAACATCAGAGCGAAGCTTTGTCAGCTTTTCAAATGACTGAGCGAAAACAATCCAGCGTCCTTTCTGAGGTTTTTTTTTTAGGAAATTGTTTAAAATAGAAAAAAAAAGTACAAGATGCCAAATGTACAATTATTAGAAGTATTACATGGTGCAAGTTTTACTCCAAAACAATCAAACTCAGACAGCGTGAGAGCACAATACAGTTGGGTTGCATTATGGGATATAAAGTCTTACACAGCTGAGCCCCAAATTATTTAGATTTATTTTTTTAAATGTACAATAAACAAAACCATTCATATTTAGAAATAATCTATTAATATTACACTGGTTATTTGCACAATTCATGTATATATTTGAATTTGCACTGTTTATTATGATTAATATATCTTTATTTTCTGTATCTTTTCTATTTATATCATTTTTATATTCTATTCTTGCTCTATTCTTTTTATGTGTATTTTTATATTTCTCTGTATGTGCTGCTGCTGACAACACTGTGAATTTCTCCACTGTGAGATAAATAACAGCTGATCTTATCTTATCTCATATTTTTTTTTGACCACAGGGTTCCTTCGTCCATAGAAATGACACAAACAAGCAACAAAATATGATAAGATGGAAATCTTTTAATTATTTCTCTTTTTTTTAACAAAAAAAAAAAAGCAACTGTCCAAATTATTCAGAAATTATCACAAATTTGCAAAAATACAGCTTCTGTGACATAGGAAACGGTCATTTCAACCCAGGTTCTGGATGATGCTCTACAAACCGAGAGCCGCTGATGCAGGAGTTCTCTGGTCAGTCGCTGGTAAAATAGAACTGAAACCGAAGAGCTTAATGAGCTCGTTATTAGGCTCCATTACTGAGGAGGAGAGAGAGAGAGCTGCACACTGTGGCTGATCACAGACGGGGAAAGGCTACAACCTCACAGCCGAGCGTTTTCACGGGGCGGCAGCCGCAGCGTAAACAATTAATAAGAACTACAAAGAGCTTCACACTGTGAAACATCTCAGAGGAAACGAGTGAGAACGGTGGAGCGAGAGGCTCAGAACAATCCACGGATCAGCACCAAAACCATCCTGATGAATCCGAGCACTTAAACGCTAAATGTGTCATGTCCATGAACGCTGTTGGGCTTAAGTGTAGCCGGTGAGCTTCCTCAGGTCAGGCTACTTTTTACACTTTTTCCCTTTTTTCACAGCGTCCTGCGGCGTGGCAGCTTCACGTCCTTTACCTGAAAGAAATACGTTTTTCATTGTGTTGTTGAAGTTCTTTTTCATATTGGCATCAAAAACACACAAAGAAAACCCAAAACATGCACATAAACTAGAGCGGGAGTTTAAACGAACCAAACAGGCCGTGATGCTGATTCATGTGTGTTTGCAGGTAATCACACGTATTCTGACATGAACGCCTCCAATGCGTCCAAAACGCCGTCAACACGCACCATGACAGTAAAAGTAGAGTCAGACGATAACTCTGTTCATCTCTTAAGCAGCCCAGTTCACATTACATACAGCTATGTCTGTCTACCAACTTTTCAGGCCCATTGTTACCTTTTTTGCTGCTTTTTCCACCTTTGAGGCTTTCTTCTTTGCCTCCACGTTGCCCTTCGGCTGGCCCCGGGGCTGCAGACTGCCTACCGGGACGCCCCGTCAAGCCTCCTCCGGCACCTCGCTGGCCTTTCTCACTCTTGGCTCTTGCGTAGGCGACAGTCACTTTGCTGCCATCGATCTCACAGTCCTCCATGGCTTCTTTGATAGCTTTGCAATTTTCGTCGCTCTCAAATTCCACAAAGCCAAACCTGATGAGAACGTAGCGTAAAATAAATTATTCAACCCGGTCGGACCACAGTACAGAGAAAGCTCCGGGCCACCCACCTGGGCCACCCACCTCTTTGAAACTCCCGTCTCTTTATCTGCCAGGACTCTGGCGTCGACGGATCCTTCGAAGGCACCTCTGAGCGTCTCAGCCGTCGTCTTCTCAGCGAGGCCCAGCACAATCAGCGTGTTTGACAGCACTCAAGAGAAAAACGACAGATTTTAAGTTGAAATATAACCATCAAGCTGGTTTAAGAAAGCAGCCAGGTGTGGACATCACAGCTACCTTCAGGCTTCTCTGGCTTCGGCGTCACGCTGAACTGCATTCTGGCTTCTCTTTTGCCGACTTTAATCTTCTTGGACGACTGCAGCACCTTTTTAGCGTCTGCCACAGTCGCAAACTCCACAAACGCAAATCTGCAGAGAATAACAGATGATTCATTTATTTTTTCTTGACAAAATCCAAACACTTTTATCAATAGTAAACTAAACTAAGCCAGCGTAAGCGTGCTCACCGCTTCGGTTTGCTTTGGCTCTGAGGTATGCTGATGCTGACGGCGTTCTGAAAGACACTCTTCAGGTTTTCCTCTTTCACCTTGGAAGACAAATTGCCCACAAACAGGGTTTTACTGGGACGTGGTGCAGCTGTGAGACGGAAAGGAAACGTTTTAGTCCAGAAAAAAACCTTGATTTATCAACTTTTACCCCTTTTCCACCAAAAAGAACCAGCTGCTAGTTCCATGCTGGTTCTAGTTCCAGTGCTTAGTTGGTTCCAATCAAAGAACCAGTTGCTTTTCCATCGGCAAGGAGCCAAATCAGAGCCATACGTCACTGCATACGGAGCCGTTTACTGAACAACGCTCGGAAGTCCACACAGGACTCCAGACTAGCTTTTTTTGTTTTTTTTTTACCGGTGTGACCAATGTTCTCATTTTTTTGCACTTCCCACCTTGTCACAGACAAAGCATACGACTTGCTGAACATTTTCTTATCGATAGACGCTACAGTTTACGATGTTTCCCGAACACCCCACATAGCAGGCTGCGCTAGCTGCTGCTGGTGGCCACGGTGCTCAGACCGGTGTGTGACCAAAGATGACTTTAAAAAGAGTTCACCAGGAGGTTCTGGTGTCAGATTGGTCCAAGATGAAACCCAGTGATTTTTTTCTCATGCTGTCTTTCCTATGAGCAGAATAAACAGTGTGTAGCTCCATTTTTCACAAGAAGACCTCATTTCTAAGCGTAGATACCGCAGTACACCAAAGTTATGAAAGTCCTGTTCTCCACCACTGTGGTGCTGCTGCTGGGACACAGTATAAAAGACAGTTTGTGCAGAACTTCTGTGTGTCCCTGGACTCATTCCAATACATCTGCGATCGGTCCAGAGACGTCCTGGCGAAAGACAACACAAATCACCGCTTGTGTGTCCCATCCACCGGTCTCGGTGGTCACGATAGCCCCGCCCCCAGTCCCTGACGTACTCAGCTTAGCTCTGGCCCAGCAAAGAGTTGGTGCCTGAAAAGCACCAGTTCTGAGAACCTGGAGCTGGTGTTTAGGTGGTAGAAACACAAAAAACTGGTGCTGAGTCAGGCTCTAACACAGCACTGGAACCGGTTTGGTGGAAAAGGGGTATTTTGTATCATTCTAGCATCTGACGGTACGCTTCACGTCACTGACATTCAGCACTGATTTACCTTTTGCACTCTTGCTGTCAGCTTCCTGTCTTTCCCCGACACAGTCCACAATCAGAACCCGGCCTTGGATGCGAGCTCCTTGTTTTCTCATCCGTACCTTTGTTGCTATTTTTTTATTTTTAAACTCCAAAAAGGCAATACTGTTGAAAAACAAGAACATGTCATTCAACATATATATATATGGCGGTTATTCATTAGACATAAGCCTCTGACAGTCTGTATGTTAGGAAGTGAGCTCACCCTTGACTCGGGCCTTCAGCTCCACCAGGAAACCGGATGGCGACGGCCTTGCGGAAACGTTTCAGAATGTCTTTTTTTGTTGCATTGTACGGCAGGTTCTTCAGAAACAAGCATCTGGCATCTTTGGCTGCCAAGAACAGGACAGCTGTCAGGTCACATGATCAACCTGGACAAACTTGGACTTTGTGTTGTTTTTAATTCAGAAGCATTAAAATGAGGTTTGTATTTACATGAAACAGCAATAAAAGCAATTCTGTTTTGTACTTTTTACCTTTTTTGTCCAGTGGAGGAGGTTTGACCTTCACTTTGTCCTCACTTTTGATCTTCGCTTTGGCGATTTTGAGCGGCTTATCGAGGAGCATCTCTCCATCCAACGCCAGCGCTTTGGTCAAATCCATTTCAGAGGCCAGATTTACAAACGCGTGTTTTCTATAAAAGCAGAAAGTTGAGTTATTTAGCCGAGCAGCAGTGGAATGATAAGCAGAACATCCATCCATCATCTCTACACCTTAATCCTCACTAGGGTCATGGGGGGCGGAGTCTATCCCAGCTGACTCAGGGTGAAGGCAGGTTCCCCTGGACAGGTAACCAGTCTATCACAGGGCTACACTTAGAGACAGACAACCAAGCACACTCACATTCACACCTACGGACAATTTACAATCACCAATTAACCTCAGCGTGTTTCTGGACTGTGGGAGGAAGCCGGAGAACCCGCAGAGAACCCACGCTGCACGGGGAGAACATGGAGATTCCACGCAGGAAGATCCCGGGTGTCCTCACCGGGACGCCAACCGGCGACCTTCTACCTGTGAGGCGACGGTGCTAACCACCGAGCCACCGTGCAGCCCATAAGCAGAACAGAACATGAAGATCCAAACACACTCACTTGGTCCGATCCAACTGGATGTCTTCAAACAGGAGACTTTGTGTCACAAAGTAGTTCGCTAGTGAGTCTCTGATTTCTGCACATGGTTTAGAGTTGTTCAGGTTGCCGACAAAAAGACGAAAATCTGCAACAGAAAAAGGGAGAAAAACGTGTAAAGGCAGCAACATGAAGCACCTTCATGATCATGAATTATGGTTTAATTGTAACATGAGTTCATACCATCGCTGACAAGCTTAGTTTTCTTTGAAGGGGAAGTCTCAGCAGCAGGGTCCGCCTTCCGCTTCCCCTTTACTTCACAGGAGGGAGAGAAGATGCGTTAGGTTTTTGAAACAAGCAATATGAAAGCATTTTATGGTCTCTGGACAGAGATTTCAGTCTAATGCCGCACCTATGAATGAAACAGTGAGTGCGTCTGCTGCCAACATGGAGACCCGAAAGTTTGTTTACAAGCAGTTGTAAAGAGATTTCATCAAAGTATTCAGAATTCATGGCTTTAACTAGCTTTAGTCTGAATGGCACATATCTACTGATGATTTTTTTTAGCATTTCAAACGTCAGCCGGGTTGCTACAGCACTACTATCAACATTCATATTTTTACGTACGTGTATTTTTATGACAAATCAGGCTGCTGTAGGAATATTTTGTGGGGATAAAAAAATTGTGAAAAACAAAGAGCAAACAAAAGACGATGAAACAACGAATTGCTACACGGGACAGTTCAGTGAATGTGAACTCTCGGAGATATGCTCACCTGCTGTCTTTTTAACAGTCTTCTGTTTATTTCCATTGGTTTCTTTTTCAGTCTTCTTCTTCTTCCTCTTCTGGGTTACTGCGGCTGTACTTTCATTTTCTTGGGAAGCGGTTTTCATTTGGGATTCTAAGGAGGAAGCATTGTTACCGGCACCGTTCAGGATTTCACTCAGACACGTATACGTAGTGCTGTTTAGGTGTTGTACCCTGTTTTGTGCCACATTCCTCCATCTCTTCCTCCACTTCTGTCTCTGCAGTCTGGCTGGGAGCTTCATCAGCGGGACCGACAGCATCAGCTGAAGAAAGAAAAACACAAAAAAAACAGCCTTGCTATAACTTAAAGACACTATAAAACTGATGTGAATGTGTTCTCTACACATTTTCGTGGCTTCCAGTATAGACGGAGTGTTTATTTTTCTTTTCTTCTTTTTATAGACCTTTGTTAATCATTATTTTTGTTCCTTTTCAACACTGAGTTTCATTTTTTAGATAAGACCTAGAACAACCAATGTGACTGTAATGTTAAACACATCCCAGAGGAGGAACAATAACTTACAGAGTACCGTGACAAGCGCCTCACCTCCACCAGTCATCTGATCATTTGCACTGATCATGTCTTCTGTGTCATCACCCTGTCCTTCCACATTCTCCCAGGATATAGTTACTGTTGGGGTGCTTCCTTTCACCTCGATGACGGTGTCTGTCTGAAGATCTAAAAAGACATTTTCATTACTCGCACAGCTCAGAATTTCAGTCAGACACCATGTGTTACACATTATCAGCACCTTGTTCATCTCCCTCCAGTTTCAGCTCCACTTCTGTTCTCTCAGTGGGATTGTCCTCCTCTATCTCAGTCTGCCCTTCTGAAACAATTAATAATTGAATAGCTTGTTAGCATTATTTGGCAGAAACAGTCATATTTACAGTGATTTTCTTGCTTGTTTTGGGGAAATGACTTGCCAGCGTTAGCGTTGTCCTCCTTCTCTCCATCTCGGACCACTTTGCTTTGTCTCGTTCTACGTCTTGTAGACTGAAACAAAGACATTTAGAACATTATGACTCTATATAATGGTCTAGTTGTCAGTTAACTACTTACAAAAAAACTTAGCATTTTCTACTTGTTGGTATTTCCTGTGATGCACCAAAAAAACCCTTAAAATTACTCATACATGAAAACCTACTGAATGATTCCGATTGCCACTAACCTTAGTCCAAATCCTGAATTAATATCTGATAAACAGTCCAAACCCCAACTATAAAAACGTTATACTTGTAAACCAGGGTCAGATTATTGGCCAGTTATACGTACACGGACAAGGAATTTGAATCATTGTTTTCCATTGCTTTCAAAGGATTTACACAAAGAACACACATGCATTTAACCAACCAAAAGAAAAAAGTGAATGCAAAACTATGTGCAGCTATGGGTACGTGCAAAAGAGAAGGTTTAAAGTCAAGTTTGGCTCAAAATTGTGTAGATTCTGGTGGTAGGAAAAAATACAGTTATCATCAGTAAACACAGGGTTACTGACACCCTGTGTGAGACATAAAAGCAGCACATTTTTAACAAGTTTGACCAGTAAAGGCCAGGTATTCCCCTTAATAAATTACTGAGACTATAAACTGACTATCAAAATGAACCAACCCGTCAACCAATCTATAATTTAGTCAGCTAGTGATTCTAAGTCTTAAATTAAATAGGTTATTATGATTAAGCAGACCTACTGGTTTCACAGTTGTACATTAATAACAACCTAAAACAGCGCTTGTCAGTAGAAGAACTTTGGGTTTTCAGTCCCTAGCTAACCAACCGCTAGCTTGTGAAGCGACTAGCATCAAACAACAGTTAGCTTAAACGAATCCACCTGAAGCCCGGTTAACGGAAATATAACGTGATTCTTACGTCTGTTTTTGCCATGTCGTGTATTTAAAACAACACACAATCACAGGCTGGAACCAGAAACCCGTAGCCGCCGAACACACGTGTGGTCCGCTAAAAACATCCACATGAGCCGCACCACGTACTGCGCATGCGTGCCACCTACTACGTACGGATGCCCGCAGGCAGAAAAGGCTTCTGCTATGTTTTTGCGATTTAACGACCACGACTTACGGGATCCCGCTCCTCAGACCATCACGGTGTCAGCTTTATTCACATGAGCACATCCTGGGTAAATACTGGGTAGCGGTAAATAATATTTAGCCTGAAATTTAATTTTTTTGTATCGAAACTACAACAGTTCAAATGTATTGTTTTGACAGCTAGCCATGTAGCTCATTAGCTAAACTCGAGTTGGTTTACACCTACTTCAGTTTCCTATTTCAGCTCCGTACCAAATATAACTGCCTAAAAACCGAATTTAAGTCTATTAGGCGATAACTCTGTCTTACACAAATACTGAATGGCATTGTGTTGTCCACACAGTGTGCCTGTTTGTTCGGCCGTGTTGACTCAAACAGGCTGATGTGAACTTTGAAGAAACCACAGTTCGAAGTTCAAGCAGGCTGCAGATAAGTGATTATCGGCTCACACCATCCCTCAGCCTGTAAACAACAGCAGTGTGAGCTCAGCATGGAGGACGTGGGACTGATCTGAAGAACAACAGAGCAAACATATCCACGATGGGGAGTCAGAGGAATGGCTTTCACAAGGAAAGCTTCATCCTGTCAGTGGACATGGGCACGACGTCCATCAAATGCCATGTCTATGACAAGGAGGCCAAAATCCGAGGATCATGCACCACCAAGGTAATCACCCCTTCCTCTTTCTCACCCCTTTGGCTTTTAATCTCTCACCTACAGCACCCATTTGCATTATTTAAGCTGTTAATGTTGATTTGCGGTGTGTCTTCTTTCTCTGTTAATGCCTTTCCTCAGGTGGTGCCCTTGTACCCAGAGGTGGGCCACGTGGAGATGGACCCAGATGACCTGTGGAAGGCTTTTATCACCGTGGTTAAGGGAGCCGTGCAAGGTACAGCTGCTCCCATTCCTGTTCTCACATGCACCCGTACCAAGGGATCAGACTGATTGGGATTAATTTTACATTAGTCACATCCTTTGACGAATGCGAGGAAACGTTGCAACACTGCAGTAGATGTTAGCGTTTCCACTGTGGTTTGGTTTTCAAACAGAAAGTGCAACAAGAAAATACTGATTCTAGTTCTTCGGGTACACTGACATTCATTGTTGTTCAACATAGCTGCTAGCACTCTGAACTAGTGCATCCTATTTAATTATTAATAAGCTACTAATTCAACTCCATGTTTGTTTGGAGGCTGCATCCTGTGTCGTCTTTTTATGGAATTACAATTAACTGAAATATAAACGGATATTTTGTTCGTAATGCAACAGAAACCATTTGTAATTCTGGCTTTTGAAAAAAAAACATTCCTTGCATTTACTTTGAGCAGCAATTTTGACAATTTCTTTCAATTTATCACTTGAATTTTATTTATTTTGTATGTGTGTGTCTGTACTCGCATTGCTGTATTTAAATATAGATGCAGGTGTCCACATGCGTCAGATAGAAGCTCTCGGCATCTCCACTCAACGAGCCACCTTCACAACTTGGGACAGGTAGATAAAAATAAAATAATAATTACTTTCCTCCCCTCCAAAACAAAAACCTGTGTGCTTTGGTCGGAAGACTAGAAGGAAACCACTTTACCTGTTAGAGCTTTGCTTTATTTATTCTGCACAACGGTTCCTTCACTGCTTGTCTTGCACTCGATAGGAAAACGGGGGTTCCTTTCCATAACTTCATCAGCTGGCAGGACCAGAGGGCTGCAGACCTGGTGAAGTCCTGGAACAGATCCTGCACCATGAAAGTGAGCCTCCTTTCCACTTTATGTGTTTTATTCAGGTTCAAAGCTGAAAGAAAACAGATAAAGTGCTTGAACTGTTTAAATTCAGCCTTGGTTATTAAAAAAAGTAGTTTGACAGTGAGTATTTGTTGGACCAGTGCTGGTTATGGCGCCCTTTCATTCAGTGTGGTTTGATGTTTTTACGACATTCTCAGACGATCCACGGCGTGATGAAGGCGGTCTACTTCCTGACCAGGCAGAAGCGATCCCTCGCGGCGAGTCTTATCGTCTTCTCCACCCAACACGTCACCTTTCGCCTCGTCTGGGTGCTCATGCACTACAAGCAGGTGTGTGGATGATGGATATTTAAACCAGTTAACTGACATGAATTCAGATCTGGGGCAGCTGTGATGCACATTGACCTGCTTGATAAACACAGTGAACAATGTTAAAGCACTGTTTAAATACAGCTGCAGCTGTGACCGATGCCAGGAAATGTTAAAAAACGAAACCAGAAAGAAATGCGCTAGCTGCCCATGTCCAATGCTCTGTTACACAACAGAAATGATCCAGACGAGTCCGTGTTTCACATCTCCACAAGGTAATCTGAAATCTGCCCGTTAATGTTTCTAAAATCCCACTGAGACCAACAAACGGCTCGAGAGCACTGAAAAGCTAAAACCACGAGTATAGTTATGCCACCTGTTACCACGAGTTATGTCACTTATTTCCAAGATTTCATAGTTAATCCAAGAAATGGTTTTAATTGTCAAATAATTTAATTTTCTCTGTTTATCAAATAGGCGGTACAGTTGTTCAACATGATTGCTTAAAGCTCGATGTGACTCCATCAAATTGCAGGACCAAAAATTTTAAATAGTTCATTGATTAAATTCCTATTAAAGCGTTTTCTCAACCTTCTAAGAGGTTTATTAGTTAATATTCAACCACTGTTCCACCCACAGAAAACTGGAAGTATGTTCATGTGCTAATAGTATTAAAGTAAATGAATAGTAGAACAAAAATAAAATCCAGTTCAAGCAGGTGGAGAAGGTCACTGGGTGCCCTCTACCCACACTAGAGGACCTTCATGGCCTCAGGAGAGCCGACACCGTCCTGAAGGACTCCTACCACCCGGGACACTTCCTGCTGGAGATGTTGGAACAGGGCCATCAGAACCAGAACTAACAGACTGAAACACAGCTTCTTTCCAACTGCTGTCTGTCAGAGCCATAAATGCCTCTTTATCATAATAAGTGCAATATATAGTTAATATGCAACTGCCACTACCTCTGTGTTATATCCACCGTGTTCATGCTTATTAGTTAATCTTTATATATAGAGTTTTTTTATATTTTTTTTTTTTTATAGTATGTTGTGTATAGTTGTTTACAAAGTGTTTATATTTTTTTGCACTGAAACCCTAACCCCTGCACCTTACTTTTTGTTGCACTTGTTGCAATAAAGCGAATGTGGATCTGATCTATTATGCGCTGGACCGCAACACTCCCCTTCTCAGCCTCCTCATGTTTCTTTCCCCTTCCAGGTCCGTCAAGCAATAGATGAAGGCAACTGCTGCTTTGGGACAATAGACACCTGGCTCCTGTTCAAACTCACAAAAGGTGGGTTTGACATTATTTGTGTTTCCCTCCGAGCACACTGTCTTTTGAACATAGTGCAGTAATACACGATTTGCCCAATGAAACGCATTTCATACGATCTCTAATGGGACACTAAGTCCCAGACAGAATGTTCTTTGTTTCTGCAATCCTGTTGCATCACTGATTGGCTGAAATTTCTCAGGAATGTTTCAGCTCCCTCCTGTGGGAGAGAGGGAATTGGAAAAGTGACCTGGAGTTCAGACGAGTGTTGTTGTTTTTTTTTTTTTGTACCTTTTTTAGAAACTGATTTTATGATACATTACTGTTTTTCTCTCACGTCTTTTTCAGGACAGGTCCATGCCACAGATTACTCCAACGCCAGCACAACGGGGATTTTCGACTCCTATCAGGTCTGTTGTGTGTTACATTTATTAACAGGTTGGGTTTTTTGTGTCTGTGTGTGTGTGTGTTTTTTTTCCATATAACTGTAATGTGACTTGTTTCACAGATGTGTTGGAGTGGGTTTATCTCCTCTCTTGTGTCTCTGCCTCTGTCTATTTTGCCCAAAGTAGAAAATACAGGGTGAGTCGATCATTCTCTTCAAACGGTAACAAACACTCGAATCTCTTGGATTTTAGCCAGAAAAAGTGTTTAACTGTGAGAAAAGCATACATTTTTATCACATTGACCTTAGATGCACTAGTCACAGTGTCCTATGTGTCCTGTTTGCTTGTTGTTGTTTTTTTTTTAACCTCAGATGACAGAAGTAAGGCAACACGAGCGGTGAGCAACCTGCAAGGCAGAATCCCCACAAGGCCTTGTTAGACGATATCTAGGGCAGGGAAAAGGGAAAAAAAAACCTCATATAACCTTAAACTGACTTCATTTTCAGCCTTTTTCTGTTTGTTCTAAAGCTGTATACTTATGCAACGTTTACGAAAATAGGCTGAGAAAGTTTCAAGAGTGCATCTATGCGATTTAAATTTGGGTTCAAAGTCATCCTCTTGTGCAGCGATAAACTGCTTCCGGGGCTCCTGCCATGTTTGAAACGCTCCCTGAAAGTCCTGCTCTGTAAGCGCATCGAGCGTCTTCTGCAGTGGCAAAACATCGACTCTGAACTTTAATGTAATTTAGGAGAAAAGGAAGCAGTTGTGAGGAGCTGAATCTGGCGAGCAGGGTGGGTGAAGAGCAACAACTGTGTTGCGTGCCACAGTTCAGGCTGTTCGTGCCGAATGTCCTCCCTCACATTCCTCATGACATTACAGCAGAACTCGGCGCTGACATTTCGACCCTGGGGGAGTGGATTCACGGTCGCTCTGCTAACCTGACACTCCTTCTTCAGTCTTGATGACTGCGGACTTTTCCACTAAAGACCAGTGTGTGGTCTCTGGGTTGCAGCTTTTAGTGACTAATCCTAATATGGCAGGAGCGCTGGGAGCAGTGTGTCGCTGCACAGGAAGATCGCTTTAGCATAGGGTTACATTTACTGTGCAGATTTAGCTTTTTATAGGGACAGTCGCTGAACTTCTTGTACAAACGTCAGTTCATGAAACACCAGTGTTGTTCTTTAAGGTGTTGTGAAAACATGTAGTCTGTCTCTGTAGGTGTAATTGGACATGGTCGCTAAATTGCTGTAGTATGAAAGTAATCAGCTTTAATAGCCAAGTGCGTACGCAACATATAAGGAATGTGGTTTTGACTGTTGGTGTCGGCCTAGGAATGAGCAGGACTAATAGAAATAGGAAAATAAAGTAAAATAACTATAGAAAAATTAAGATAACAAATATATACAAGAATGTACACATCTGAGAAGAAAAAATATATGTAAAGTGGTGCAAAAATAGCAGTGCAACTAATGTAAGTAGTCTGACAATAATTATAATTATTATAATAATCTTTTTTTTTTTTTAAATGTACATGAATGTGTATTATCAACGACTGTGTGCGACTGTCAGGTGGTTTCAGCACCTCTGTGGCGTTGTAATGTAGCTGTACAGCACTGCATACACGTTATGTTCTCAATCCAAGGCCTGCAGTTTGCCTGTAGATGAGAGTTTTGCAGGATGCTTTGAGGCTGATGCATTGTGTCTGGTTTCTCCCTCGTGACCCAACAGCCACAACTTCGGTTCCACGGACCCATCCATCTTTGGAGTGTCCATTCCCATCATGTCCTTGGTGAGTCGTCAACATCTTGGCATGGCACAATCTGATTTTGATAGAGAGCGTTTATTTTCAACCTTCTAACTTGTTTGTGCCAGCGTGTCACTGCTATTATGTCATAAAAGGCCATTTCACAGAGTTGTATATGGCAGGTAATGTGTTACTCGTGATAAGAGTATCCGTGACTTGGAATGAAATATTGGTTATCAATGAAAAGAGATAAGACCTGACAAGGAAAGTAATAAGGCACATGGAATGAATTAAAACAATATAGTGACAGTGACACGCCCTCATAAACTGGGATTCAGTCAGACTTTGGCCCTCACCTGTTGGAAACTCTCACTTTCCATTAATGTGAGTTTGAGACATTTCAAGTGTTTGAAGCATCGACTTGTTTTCGTTGTCATCACAACATGTCTTCCTCCGTCCATCTGCCGTAGATGGCGGACCAGCAGGCGGCCATGTTTGGAGAGTGCTGCTTCGACATCGGCGATGTAAAGATCACCATGGGAACAGGCACCTTCATGGACATCAACACCGGGAACAAACCGCACACGTCCGTAGCAGGTAGAGGAGCTCAGCGCACTTCAGGAAAAACGTCCACATTTGTCCACGCAGCCTCGTTACAACACCCCTGATCCTCTCCCCGTAGGCCTGTACCCTATCGTGGGGTGGAAGATCGGCTCCGAGGTGGTGTACCTGGCAGAGGGCAACGCGGCAGACACGGGCACCGCCATTAAATGGGCGCAGAAGCTGGGTGAGCGTTGAGCCGTATGCAAGAGCTGTGGTGACTTCTTCTTCATGTCACTGGCAGGAAGGCGTGGCAGGTAGCGGACAGGTTCTGTCACAGTGTGGAAACAACACCAGTAAGGGTTTTCAGCCAAAGTTAAAGCCTACTAAACTTTTCAGCGAGCTCTGCATAGAATCAACTTTTCAAAGCAGAAATGAAGCAGATGTCTATGTTGACACTAAAAGCTAACTTGCTTCTTCTCGATTTTGCCTTTCGTGTGTCTCCACGGGTCCACTCATGATGAGGGTGCATAGTTTAGGTTCCACACCGGCCTATTTTTGGTTGGCCTGATGTAGACTGCAGGTATGAGCCCGCCACTGGCTGCTCCTCTTAGGTGGTTTTGAAAAAAAGCACAAAAGGCTGGAAAGAATAGAATTACGTGAAATAATTTCACCTGTACTGCATCTACCCTGACATCTAGCAACATCTGGAGCTGTTTCTACAAGGACAACAGAACTGTATGAAAGGTGAAAGGAGATGAAAATTCATTTGTCTTGACTTAGAAATGTAGAAATAAGTAAAACAATATAGGTATATGTATATTTACAGGACATACATACATTAAATCATGTAAATTACTTCTAAATTACTTCTAAATCTTAAAAAATGAACACAGTATTGCTGAATGTCGGCCTTCGTGGGTACACCGTTACACAATGTGTTTACAGGCTTGCTTTGCTTTCCTTTCCTTTCCTTTCCTTTCCAGCTATCTACATGTTATCATTTTCTGAGCTATGAGAGAAAATAACACCATCCAAGCAGCAGCCCACCACACAGGATGTTAAATCCTCCAGAGGACCTGAATGGTGCGGTGAGGCTGCCCGGCTGGTTTTCTGTGGTGGATTATTCATTTTAATGACAGTGCAAAGGCTCCACCAAAACAGTTCCACCCGTCACTGTGTTGAACCCACTGAAGCCGCAATCTTTAGTTAGAAAACAAACAAACACGCCGAAGCTTTCTGTTCCCCTTCGAGCATAAATGGCAGTGAGGCGATGTTGGAATCCTCTGACGTTATCTGTGTTAAAGTCTCCTTTACACTGAACATGTTGTTGTTGCAGAGCTGTTCTCTGACGTCCAGGAGACCAGCACCATGGCTTACAGCGTCAGCGACTCAGACGGAGTGTGTTTCATCCCGTCCTTCAGCGGCCTGCAGGTAAACGTCGTGGCGTCCTGTCACAGCCGGTATTGTGCGCATACGCCTGTATTTTTGATTTTAATTTGCTGTTTTCTTCTGTGTAACATGGTTGTCTCTTTTTTTGTTTTTCTCCGCCTTCCATTGTGAACTGGCGCTTGTAAGTGTTTGTCCTGAATGTTTGTAGTTTATACGCAGACATCTGGTTATGAAATCAGTTTCCAAACAGTATGCCTGCACTCGTACTGACTATGAGAATCTTTTTTATTGTTTACTAAATCACTTTATGTGTGTTAACTTCTTAAAGGCTCCACTGAATGATCCCAAAGCTTGTGCTTCCCTCATGGGCCTCAAACCCTCCACCACCAAGAGCCATCTGGTCCGGGCCATCCTGGAGTCCATCGCCTTCAGGTGAGGCGTTTCCCAGAGATGGTTTCTGCATAAGTTCCTCACCGTTACTCACTCATGCTACTTGATGTTCAGTCCTTGTGCTGCTATTTTTATTTTCCAGAAACAAGCAGCTCTTTGAAACGATGCTAAGAGAGACTCACATTCCCATCACAAAGATCAGGTACAGTTTCTCCTCTCCTGGTGGGCATCTAACTTACATCTGACTAATGATTTAATTGCCTTTTTGTGTTTTTTTTATGCCTCATTTTAAGATAAGATAGGCCTTTATTTATCTCACAGTGGAGAAATTCACAGTGTTGTCAGCAGCAGTACACACAGAAAGAAAACGTACATATAAGAAATGGTGCAAACACAAGTATAGAAAAATACACATTTAAAAAAGGATATTGCAATATAAACATGAGGATATATAGAAAAGATATGTATGTATATTATGAAAGATATAGAAAATAAAGAATAAAAGATATACTAACAATAATAAACAGTGCAAATGCAAATACATACATATGTACATGAACTGTGCAGATAACCAGTTGGTTTATTAATGCTCTTGACTGCAACCTACTTGCTGCAAACCCAACAAATTGTCTCCAACCAGTGGCTGTTCTGTGTTGTTTAACTTTGCAACTAAATACACAAAACTAATGTCAACAGACGCTCGTCGACATTCAGTCGGTCAGATATTAGAAGTTAAGATAACACAGCAGATAAACAGGAACTATTAGTGGGAACTCATGCAGCATTAGGGATTGAAATAAGCTGTTTTTGTACCGCTGAATGGAAATGATTCTAAGAGTTATGCAAAACAATCACAATCTATCGGGCCGTGATGTAATATTGTGACAGGAACAGGAGAGGCGTCTTCTGATATCTCGTCTTATCATATGATCTGAATTGCGTCCAGCGAACTGGGCGTAACAGACCGGACTCTTGTGTATCCTGCTTCTAGTAATGCAGTTCAGTCGTTTTATTGGCAGTGCATTACGGGCATGTTTCTCCGATACGGTTACAGTAAATTGAGTGGAGGTGTAATTCAGTGCTCTCTTCTTCTCTGGCTCAGGGTTGATGGCGGCGTTTCCACCAACGACTTCGTCATGCAGCTGACTGCAAACCTGTTCGGCAGGAAGGTAGCCAGACCCCAGCACAACGAGATGTCGTGTCTGGGGGCTGCTTTTGTCGCTGGACTTGGAGTGGGTATGCAAACACAAAAAGAAAAAAAGAAATGCTTTGGCTGTAGCTACTGTACACGAGAGCGACTGTTTTGTGAGTGGCAGATTGTTTTTAAGCGACTGCAGCCTGCTGAGAGAAGCCAAGATGTCTCAGAATCGCTGCGCAGCACAAACTGAACAATGTGAAGATGAGAAGCAGCTGTGTGGAGCAGTCACACTTCACTGTCCCTCTGTTCCTCCACCGCCGTGTTTCTCTAAAAATATTACAACACTTACAGTCATGACAGTGTTTCATCTGAAAAGTTATGATCAAAAGTCCTATTTTTGTACCCGCTGACTCGGCCAGAAGAAACAAAACCAAGTGCTGCTGTTTGTTATGTAACCCGTTTTCCATTTAATTATTCACATTATGTAATTAGATGGTTATACGTTAGTCAGTGCTTAATCAAATCACACACAAAAAAAAAAGATGGATTTGTTCTTGTTGTTGTGTAACAGGCGTGAACCAGGTGGTGCCGATGACTGGATAATAAAGTGAATCATGTGTCTGAGAAACACGCTTTTCTGTGCGGATCACTGAACAGTCGTGGAGATAATTAAATCACTCCTCTGCCACTTTTTAGTTGTTTTCTCACAGTGTGCTACTCTCTCAGCCAAATTCTCCTTTTCTTTTGTTTTTTACGGCTGCCAGTGTCGCGCATGTGTCGGTAAAATCTCAATCTGTCGCCGCAGGTTTCTGGAAGACCCGCGAAGAGCTGAAAAAGTTGCAGAGTACCGACGAACTGTTCCTGCCCCAGGAGGCAGCCAAGGAGGGCAACCCAAACTGGGAGTACGCCCCCATCCTCCAGAGCTGGGAGCGAGCTCTGCAGCGCTCCATGAATTGGTACAAGCAGCCTTGACACTGGATCAACACAACTGAATGAAAAGATTTTAAACCGAATTACTGTTTGAGAAATGGCGACCGTCAGCTGTGATGTTAGAATGAATTTAAATAATGTTTGTCAATCTACTAAATCCTGGTCCGCTCTTTTTAAAGGTATGATACGAAGCTTGTAGCGGTGATGAAGGGGTCGGTGTGCTCTGTAATCGTTAGCAGAACTCTTTGTAGGGGAGGGGAAATGACAGCTTTTCTTTTTCATACTCTAAAGCAGGACACACCTGAGCACTGACATAGTCGTACAGCACTAACAGCTTTGGTTTACAGCAGGACTGTGGGGAAACACACTTTGCAGTGCAGGTCGGATTCAAACCAAAGTGTCATCAGCCACGTTACAGCCACACACTGAAATTTCTCTACGTTTACTGAATGTCCTCGCACGATAGCGGCGTGACCAGAAGTGTATTCATTCCACATCTGAAGGTGCTGCTTCATATTTCAGTATTATGTTGGGGGTTTTGTTTTTCCAGCTGTAATAATGTTTACCATTTTTCCACACGGGGGCGCTGATGATTGAATTTATTGCTCACCATAGCAACCGCATGCCAAATGTTAACCAGGAGCCACAGACTGAAAAAAAAAAATCAGATTCACAGCCTCGGTGAGAAAAAAGAAAAAAGAGGGAACAAGGGGGGAAAGAAGACCAGTCTGCTCACGACACCTCAGGACTCAACGGAAACAGAGTTTGAAGAAACATTTAGTGATGTCAAGTCTCTTACATGTTGCTGCTTCTCCTGAACTGGTGTTTTTGTATCTCAAGAAAAACCTCAAGAACACCTCAAGTCACACATGATGCCTTTTCTGGAGCAATGTCCTTTGTGGAACCGTGATTTATGTGTCCTCTAACTTTGAGATAATGTTGTTTTTCTTTTAAATGTGACTTAAACAAATACTAACTATACGAGTATGGGAGCTCCACTGGATTTCAGTATTTGAATGTGCGTTTGGTCTGCTTCGGGTTCGTCTCATTACTGGTTTTTAAATGTGACTTGGACCAGAAATGGCACAAAAAAAAAAAGTCATTTTGCTATGCAGTAATCACATACGCAATTATCTGTCATTTTGTTTGGGGATCAGGTGATCAGGGTTACAGCAGATAGATTTGTAGTGGGTTTTTTTTTTCCTTGTTGTGTCAGAGGTATGGCCAGGTCCAAGCGTCTTCCTCGACCTGATGAACTCTGATGGTGTTATGATGATTATGTGTCGCCTATCGCTCGAGAAACTGTGAATCTCCTTCGTTTGCTGTCTTAATACTGTAAAATTGTAGTAAAAGAGCTAAACTGTGTAAAGTGATACCATGCTGAAATGAACGCCTCAGACGCCGGTCCGGGTCAGGACACTCTTCTTACACTTTCACTTCATTCAGTTTTTGAATGGCACATGTCGTCCCGAGCTGCTGGGAAATAACAAATGATGTGTAGTGATTTGTGGAAGGTTTACTATTAAAAAAACATCAACCCTCAGCTGTTGGTTTTCTTGTGCACAGGTGTCGCCATGAGTGAGCAGATGCTGCCCCAAAGTGTTTACCTCCACATGGGCTCTGGGGGTTGTCGGGGAGGAGGGGAGGGTGGGATAGATCCTGTGCTGCCTTGTCACTTGGGAATCGTCAGAAGCACGAGGCTGCGAGATGAGTCGAAGGGCTCGAGTCCCATTGATGTGACCGAGCTCGCTGTGAGGGTTGCTATGGCAGCTCGCGGATGGAGTGACTGAGAACAAATGGGGTGTGTATTCCTGCTCATGGTGCTGGTATGGCGAAGGGGGCGCTAATTGAGTGCACGAAAGGGGGTTTTCCTAAACAATGGGAGGATTGTGTGTGTGTGTCTGTCCGCTCGGAGGAAGACCAGGAGTAGTGAGTTCTGCGTACGTCACACAACGTCCATACAGTGTCTCTGTTCTGCACGAACCCAGCCACCCAACCCCGGCTTGTCGCTCCAGGCTTTCAGATTTCTTCTGGGCTTTTTGCGGTGGAGCTGAGACAGACGGGACTAGCCCATGAATCAGCTCTCACACTAATCAGTGAAATGGCTATGAGTGAGTGTGTGAGTGCTGGTATTGTGCCTGGTGCTGCATTGTATGAGTTGTGGTGGGACCCCGCCTTGCAACAAATTCAAACTGACAGCAGGAACTGGATGCAGTGCGACCACTACTCCGGTCCCCCTCCCCCATTGCAAGCTGAACCCTGCATCAGGGGTCATTATATAACTCCCTCTTCTCCCATTCTCTCTCTCTCTCTCTGTGACACACTGGGATTGTTCGCTGGAGTGTCAGGGGGTTGGAAGTTAAGCTTTTGGCATTTATGTTTTTTTCCTTCCTTGTAAGTGTTTCAGCCTCACTCTCTCTCTCTCTCTCTCTCTTTCTCCCCCCTCCTCCTCTCTTTTCTGCCAACTCCTCTGTCAGCTCAGTGAATTTCACTCATCTCTGGCAGAGCATAAAGAAAACGGGAGCTGAGCTAACGAGGCTGGAATAAGCCGGCGTCCTTTGCTTTACTACTTGGTTTAAAAAGAGGTGCTAATCTCTGTTAACTTGGACACATCTGTTTACAATCATGCACTCTGTGTACTCTCTCTCCCTCTCTCTCTCTCTTCCTGTCTCTTTCACACACACATACACACACACACACACACACACACAATCTAGTGCTGGATTGCCATAGCAACAAGGATTGGCAAATGCCCCAAATATCTATGCTCAACCCAGTCGGTCACAAAATAGCATCCTCATCGGCTTCAAATATGCTGATCACTTGTGTTCCTTCATGCATGAGTGTGTGTGTGTGTGTGTGTGTGTGTGTGTGTGTGTGTGTGTGTGTGTGTGTGTGTGATTAGCAGTGCACGCTCTGCTGTCAGCCTATTGGTTTGGTGACTCAAGAATTGTCGAGCTGCAGTTTGATTTTTTTTTTTAAATACCTCCAGTGCACTTGAGCTGCACTTTGGATGCTGTAATCCTTCAGTATCTTGCATTTCATGAGAAGATCCCACCACCCTGAACAAAAAAAAAATGGAGATCCCAGCCTCTTCCCCCCCATATAGCCATGATAATGTAATTGGTGATAAGACAGCTAGTGTGCGCTCTATTTATAATTTTTGCGCGTAACGGTGCGTCTCCGTGCGTCTCCCCGTCATTAGCCAATGTACATCCATCTGGTCGCACTGCATCAGCTGCCACGACAGGGCTTGTGTGTGGACGTCACAGATTTTTTTTTTCTTTCCTCACCTTCCCCTTTTCGTTTTTTTTTTTTTTTTTTTGTTCCACCAGAGCATCTCTCTCCTTCTGCTCTCCCTCTTTTCTACACCGCCCACTCCTTCCCAACCATTGATCCGACCACTCACCGCCGCCTCGCCGGCTTCTTCGCCTCATTACATCGCCCCGCTGCGCTTTTCTGCATTTTTTTAAAGGAGGAAAGGGAAAACAAAACAAAAAAATTAAATTAGATTACATTTTTAAAAAAACTTGCACATTTTTGGACCAAAAATAATAAAGAAGAAGAAAGAAGAAGAACCATCAGCATCACCATGGCGAGCACCGAGGACAAGGCGGCCAGCAAGGAGAACACGTCCAGCTGGAAGGACTCCTTCTACAACCCGAGGACCGGGGAGGTGCTGGGTCGTACGGCCAGCAGCTGGGGTAAGGATCCCCCCGTTATTCAGCACTCAATTAGCGGCTGCGGTTTGACATTCACGGGGCTTACACCTAATCTGGTGTCCCCTTCGTTTCATTTTCAAAGGGATTAGCCGGCTCCTGAATTAGACAACCTCGCATGAATCCAAATCATATAGATGGTGCGTTTAGCTGAGGAGCCGTCACAGGCCTACATGGGGAGGTGTAGAGGAGAAGCCTGCACAAGGAGGCAGAGGAGGGATGCTATCAGAGGTGTGCACCAGACCTGTGTTTGCTGCAGAGGCACAAATAAGCAGGCAGGTGATGATCAATGAGCGCTCTGGTTAATCATCAGTGTGAACATGTGGAAGGTGACTGGATTCAGACCCCCCCTGTTACCTAATGGCAGTAGAGCTGATCAGGCCATACATTTTATGTAATGATCCCCCACTTATTTCCAGAGTGAGGTAGTAACAGGGCTCCCTCCCTCCAGCAGCCCGGCTCCTATAGGCTAGCGCAGGCTGTCGGGCTGCCTGGGCCCCTGTGCTGCTGTGCAGTGGGATGCTCCATTGCAGTTGCATGGCCGCCCACATTAGCATGCCTGTCAAGGTCAAATGGGATTCCCTCTCTCCTCTTTCTCTGTCTTTCACGCACTAGGCAGGTGCATTGTGGGATACTGTTGGAGAGGAATGAGGGGAAGGGGGGGACGTACAGCAGGAAGCAGAGGGGTCCATCCCTTTTTTTTTTTTTTTTTTTGGTCAACTTAGAGGGCATCCGTGGTGTGCTTGGAAGCTGGATGGTGGTGAACCATTTTGATTCAGATGTTTCCATAAATGCAGTTTTTTTTTTTTTCTTTTTCTCTCCCCCCCTCCTCCTCCACCTCCTCCTCCTCCTCTTCCTCCTCTTCCTCTGCACTGGATGAACCAGGCAGCAGATGCTCTAAAGCACTGCAGCACGAGTCTTATCTGATTTGTGGAGTGTGTACGTGTGTCCGGTGGGGAAAATGTTAAAAAATTAAATTAAAAAATGGCCTCACGCTTGTTAGCTGTAGGAAGCGTTTCCTCCTTGACTCAAAATGGTTTCTCTCAAAGGGCCAGTTCACTCAAATGACAGGTTCCTCCGGCCTGAAGACGGGGAAAGGTGGAAAATCAGGAGGCAATTCATCCAAGCCGGTTGGAGATGGTAGTTAATTATACATGACCCCTTTCTGTCTCCCTCCCTCATTACGTCTCTTTTCTTCTTCTTGTTCTGCTCCTCCAGCCCTCATCCTGCTCTTCTACTTGGTTTTCTACTGTTTCCTGGCTGGCATGTTCGCCCTGACCATGTGGGTGTTGCTGCTCACCCTGGATGACTATGTGCCGAGGTACAGAGACCGCGTTCCCTTTCCAGGTTAGTGTTCTCTCAGCCCAAAGCAGGACTTTCAGCTAAATAACTGGCAGCCTTCATCTCTCAGGCATTCATTATTCATACTAACAACAACGAGACGCCGTCACAATAATGTGCTTTTTGCATCGATCTGTTTTGGAGCCTCTGCCTGTGTGATATCAGCAGTGGATGTTTTGTTTCCGGCTGTAACATAAGACAGATTCCAATAGGCGTGCATTAGTTTTTCACTGTCGAGATTGTTTCCTTCTTTACTCTACGTCCACCTCTCCGCTTCAGGGTTGGCCATTCGTCCAAACTCATTGGACATCATGTTCAACAAATCCGACCCGCTCAAGTACGCGCCTTATGTCCAACATCTGGAGTCCTTCCTGCAAAGTGAGTGCACTTCACTCCCAAACATCGATACGTGAAGCAGATTGAAAGCAAGCTGTAATAAAATGAACACCACTCTTTTTTGTTTTATGTTCGACTGACTCCATCTGTTTGAACCTGTCTCCATCCGCTGTCTGTCAGGATATAACGACACTGAGCAGGAGAAGAACGAGGCCTGCATCCCGGGCCAGTACTACGATCAGGATGATGACAGCGAGATGTCAAAGAAAGCTTGTCGCTTCAAGAGGGGCTCCCTGAGCCTCTGCTCCGGCCTCTCCGACACCAACTTCGGATACCACGATGGAAAACCCTGCGTGCTGCTGAAGATGAACAGGGTAACACCCACTTTCTTCACTGACAGAACCAGGCGTCTCTTTGTCACGGCATGCACGAAAAAATCCACGGTTTCGTCTTTTCAGCCTCTTCCTGCTTCCCAGACAGCTTCTGCTCTTCATCCATTTAGCTGCTCGCTGACAGCTCCCAAAATAAACGACGTGCTTAATGTTCTAATTCTGGACACATTCTTGCGGTTGCTTTAAACACTGTCGAACTTCCCTGTTTCTCTCCCTTCACAGATCATTGGCCTGAAGCCACTCGGAGACCCTTATATCAACTGCACAGTAAAAGTAAACCTTCTTTCTTTTATTTTCCTTCGTCCTTCACACTACACACGTCCTTCTTGCTTGTATGTGTATTTTTTTTCATTCCTGTCATAAAAACGGTGATGACCATAATATTTTCTTTCTGTTGATCTTGTTTTCATTTTTTCCTTCTTTTTGTTTGTTTTGTGTCTGATATCTTTCTGCATGCTGTCACTGACGGCTTTAGGGTAAGATAAATATGTAAATTATGAGGATAAGGCCAGTAGGGGTGTTCACACATTCTCTGTTATGTAACAGGTCATTATGCAGGTGCCTCTAATCCCATCCCAGTGCCATTCTGCCGTTTATTTTTACTCCTAATCAGCGTAATTTCTGCCAAATATGTCACTTCTCCAGCTTCAGCCGAGCACATCCTGGTTTCCACTTCATCTAAATCTCGTCACTAACACAGGATGTTTGCTTTTCTTTTTTAACGTCCTGCTTCATTCGCTATTAATATAAGCAAACTCACTTAATGTGAAACTTAACGTGTGTTCCTTGTTGCAGAAAGACAACCCAGTTCAAATGCACTATTTCCCCAGCGAGGGTCGCTTCGATAAGATGTACTTCCCCTACTACGGCAAGAAGGCCCACGTAAGTGTCTGTCCATCTCCGTCGGTCCGATAGCGCGACACCCTGACGCCTCTCTGACTGACGGCTGTGTCTTACAGGAGAACTACGTGCAGCCCCTGGTGGCCGTGAAGCTGCTGCTCACCAAGGAGGACTACAACAAGGAGCTGTCGGTGGAGTGCAGGGTAGAGGGCTCCAACCTCCGCAACGACGACGAGAGGGACAAGTTCCTGGGTCGCGTCACCTTCAGGATCAAGGTCGTGGAGTAAAAAGGGCGGAGACGACCCCGCCAAATAAAAACCAGATGAGGCTGCCCACGTTTCCTAAGGATTTAGGTTTAAAAAAAATATATCTATATATATATATTAAAAAAATACAAGGAAGGAAGCGTCAAATAGGTCACAAAGATGGCATTTTGAGATGAAACGGTTCGATGGCCGTGAGTTTGGCTTTTTGGTAGGAGAGCCGGGTATACAGCGATATCAAATGTTGCTTTGATGACATTTCTGACCTTTCTTTCCTTTATGATTCCTTTGCTAAACCTCCTCAAAGACCCCCAGAACAAAACGCAGGCTCTGCTCCTGACCCCACCCTCCCCACTCCGTACCTTCCATCCTTCCATCCTCGCATTCACCTGTTGCACTGTCTGTTCATTATTATTTTATTTTTTAGCATTGATGATGTGACTAGCTTTCTTATAGCCATTGCAACCAAGCCATTTGGAGCTGTTGTGTAATTGCTGATACAACTTTTTTATTTTATGGTTTTTTTGGTTGTTTTTTTTGTTTTTTTAGGCCTTCCTGCTGTCAGGAAAAGCGTGTTTTTATCAGGACAGTATTATCACTGGCGTTGGTTGGGAGGATCTTGCTGTATAGTATAACTGAGAGAGTAGAACATTTCCGCAGAGTATTCACATGACCCATCGCACATCACGAAGGCTTCATAGGAACATACGTCGATAATCAAGTATAGCCACTGTATCCCTGTATATGAAATGCCAATTACAAAGTCCCTTTCTACTATAAATACATTGTGATCCTTACCATATTTAGGGAGTTATAGATAGATCTTTTTGTGTTGCGGCCCGCGTAGCCACAACCCAGTCTTGTGCTGTCTGTCTGTCTGTCTGTCTGCATGTCCGTCCGTCCGTCTGTCTGCCCGTCTTCCTGTTTACTCACCTCTCCACTGCAATAGCCAACATGTGGGTGAGCCCTCCAGGACTTAGACAAGTTGTCTCGCTCCACCTTCGCCGGGTGCTGCGGATCGAATTGATGGTGGCCGAGGCGACGCGCGCTCACAGAAGGTACCGTGTAAAAAAAAAAGAAATAAATTTGCTTCTGAGGCGGAGAGGCGCTGGGAGAGCGTTGCAAAAATAAGAAGTTCACTGTAACTATGTACTGTATATCTCTACGTGATCTGTATATCTATCTGGGTCTCAAAGATTGTTTGTTAGTTTTCTCTCTTCTTCAGCCTGTTGATCTGATTGTCTGCCAATCTATTACTCTTCAATGTATATATATATACACTATCTACCATATTTACTTAATTCACACTGTATTTTTGTCACAAAACACAATGTCTGTGCACTGTAAAGAAATAATTTAAGCAAAGATTTACAGGAAATTATCTTATTCAAAAGTATGTTTACACAGTCTTAAAAGGAACCCGCATTTGAAAGAACAACTTGTACCATCTCTTCAGGGTGCCTTAAGACCTGATGAAATAAATTGTGGAATAAAAGTGATTTTGAAGAAAAAAAAGAGAGAGAGAGATTTCCTCTTGTCGGTTTTTAAAATTAGTTTTTGTCAGTTTTATTGTAGAACTGCTGAAAAAATACAACATTCTTTGTGTTTTTAAAACTGATGCTTCAGGAACATGTTGCTGTGAGGAAGTGGCTGATTCACTGATATTCACACCAAATTGTCAATGGAGAAGTTTATTTTGTGTATTTTGTTTAATGCATCCCACCAAGAACTGCAACATGAAACTCCTGCAAGCATGGACAGTAGGTTTTGTTTGGAGGGCGACACATTATACAGAGGGGTCTGGGATCTCCCATCCATCATCTCTACACCTCAATCCTCACTGGGGTCATGGGGGGCTGGAGTCTATCCCAGCTGACTCAGGGTGAAGGCAGGTTCACCTGGACAGGTAACCAGTCTATCACAGGGCTACACTTAGAGACAGACAACCAAGCACACTCACATTCACACCTACGGACAATTTACAATCACCAATTAACCTCAGCATGTTTGTGGACTGTGGGAGGAAGCTGGAGAACCCGGAGAGAACCCACGCTGCACGGGGAGAACATGGAGACTCCATGCAGAAAGATCCCGGACACCTTCTAGCTGTGAGGCGACGATGCTAACCACCGCCTTGCAGGATCTTGCATCAGGAAATTCTGAGCGTCACACACTTTGTTTTCCTGCATTCTGGTGAATTTTTATGCACCAATCCATCCTATCTGGGCATGCATCTGTACTTTTGCCTGTATAGATAAGGTAATAGCTGTTACAGTTGCAAGGACAGGTTCTTTTAAGCATCTATAGGCACCTTATCAGTGTATATAATACTTCCTTTTACCTATTGACCTTTACCTAAATATGCATTTTATTTAATTATTATAATCTGCACATAAAACAACTTTTATGTATAGCAACACGTCACTTCTCTTCCTGTTAATTGTCCACATCAACAGCCTTCCCCTGTTGTTTTATGCATGCTGTGTAAAGAAGAAATGTCACCACAATGTTGTTTTGCAACATTATGATGACAAGAAAGCTATATCTTAGCTAATCTCAACATCCTAGAGGGTCACAATACAAAAAAAAAGGGAAAAATTTTGGCACAAAAACATGCATTCACTTTTTAGACTTTCCTCTAAGGTGATTTGACCTCTCAACTTTCACAAGCCAAAAAAGAACCACTGGTTTAAACGTTAAAAAGGAATTTCATTTTTTATGTAATATCTTAGTTTGTAAAACATCTGGGCTGTCAGAGTGTTTCTCTTGAGCATAGAGCAGGATGCAGTGAGTGCAGCACCCGCATGAATGTACTTCTGGCCACCGCTTTTCTATAAGCGCCTGTCCACAGAGCATCCGGGCACCAGTCTTGTTTGAAAACAACCCACAAAGGGATCTTTCATCGAACGAGGAAATTGCACAACATGTCAGATTGTGCCCTATAGCTCGACGGTATGGAGGAGGCAGAAGGGTTGCGACTGCTGAGGCTGTGTTCTGCTCATCCTTCACCATCGGCCCGTTAACACCCTCGACGTCGCTGTAGAGCCGATCTGCAGCCACACGAGGGAGCCACAAACAGGCCAGCCTCGGCAAGCTGTTAGTGAAAGTGGGACTCAGAGGAAACCACAAGCCATTGCAGAGGTCATTTGTGTTTCCACACTTCTGCATTTTGCGGTTTTTGTAAGGGATGTTGAAAAATCCATTAAAGATTCAATTCAAGATCTGATTTCTACGCCGCCTGTGCAAGCTGCTCAGACGCTGCACTGTTAGTTCTGATGATTCTGATTGTTTACTGAAACCTGGACCTGTAAGCGCCCCGCCGCAGAGCCAGAACCGGCTGTAGAGGTCAGAATATGTGTGGTCAGTGGTAAAAGAAGCCCGATCACACTCGTCTGCTCTAATTTCACAGCACCTCCACCTGTCCAGCTCCCGCAGCGCCCTGAAGCTGCAGCAGGCCTGTCCTTCACCGTCAGCAGCAGTCTGTACCCACGGCCTGCTACATGTGAGATAATCTCTCGGGGTTTAGCTGCAGCAAGAATCCACCTTAATGTCTGCTAAGCTCTTACCGTCCTTGAGGCAGATCGCTGTAAACAAGTGGAGACAAAAGAAAGCACAAATAAGATATTTTCATCGGTGTGTGGCTGCAGAGGAGGGCAGGAATATGTTGGAAGATGTTGGGGCTTCTCACAGCTGAAAGCATGAGCTGAAGACTTCATGCATAAATGAGTTACCTGTGTTTTATAGGCTTTTACTTTATTTGCAGAAAGTTGCTCTGAAATGCCAGCAGAAGGTTAAGTTCCCCCCCCCCTCATCATTCATGCTTCCTTCTGTCAATAAAAACAAATCAAATGTCACAGTGTGGTGAATGAATGTTTTCTTTTTCTGTAGCTGTTGATTTCTGCTCAGATCTCTCCCTTGGCAGCAAAGCTGAGATGCTGCAGAACCCGAGGGGGGATTTGAAGCTGATTTAAGCAAAGGAGGCGCAAGGATAACACTGGTTATCGCCTTATCAGCTAAGAGTTGAACTTGCCAATTTGCGGCCGCCCCGGAGCACAGCCTGGCCTGCAGTCAGCATCCTGAAAGGGATTAATGCAACTGATATTTTTTAGGTTTTACTCCAGAGTCCCCGGCAGCGGTTTCTCTGTGGTTATAAATAGGCCAGAGAACATGCGTAACACTCCGCAATTTGGGGCATTTTCTGACGCTGGTACTAGAAATGTTTTTGGGTTTTTTTTAAGCCTCAAGACTGCAGCACAGACGACAAACATGAATATTCATCAGCAGAGAAACACGCACGTTAAAAGACATATGTTTTAATTTATTCAAATGATTCAAGATTCAAGGAAATTTCTGCTTTACATCTGACATTTCTATTGTAGCAACGCCTCTCATGTTATATTTACAAGTACACATATCATATATTTATATTGTATTAACATTAACTGTAAAAACTCAACTCTGTCCAAGACCTGGAGATTTAAAAACTCACATCGTTACCCTGAGACAAGTAAACAAGAATTACAAGGATTCTCTTTGAACTATAGCCCAAGTCTCTAGACTCGGCTCAAATACCAAAACAGTGGAACCTTTTTCAGCATCTGGCTAATTTGAGTTATTTACACTCGTTTCCAACTAAGATCCCTGAATTATTGCAGCGCTTCAGGGTCATGGACAGCGCAACCTGCGCATTCCTGGTACAGGAAGTTATGGCCCAACTCCTCTAAGTTTCCCTCCTTCACGAGCAGCAATGAGCTGCTCCGTCTGCACTCGTCTGTCCCACAGCATCCCCGGGCTCCAGTCTGCCTTTCTCACAAGCTGAGCCTCGTAGCACCAACAGCAGAGGGACTCAGAGAAGAGGTGTTCGGTATTCTTCATTTACAATCGTCCTACACTTTACATTACTTACAACGTTCCCTTTCTCTCTGTGCATAGATATAGATATAGTTCTTTATTTACAATACATACAATCGCAACAATTGCTTTTAATAGTTTTTACAAAACTAAACTGTCGGGTGGAAGGATCACCACCTGGATGTAAATGCGGTGTAGTTGTGAGCTTCAGGATCACAGCGTTTAATCAGACACTACAGTTATCTCTTCCACATGCGGTTAAAAAGCACTTTTCCTTGTAGAAACAGTGTGGCCTCATGATGGCGTCAATACAGGGCATCAAAGTGCTGTCCAATTACAATTACACAGTTCACTAGAACTGGACCAGTTCAAGGTCTAGAAGATCATTCAAAGTTCTACATGTACAGTCCTGAAGGCAGCAACGTCGCTTCAGCTGGTAATACTGCAAACATTTCCTAATTTCGACGCTGTCTTCATAAAGCGATTTAGTATTCCTGGCTTACTTCCCCTAGCACTAGTGTCCTTAATGAAAACTTTTTACTAGCTGTCATTTATGGTCAACATGGCTGCAAGTCTACAACGAAAAGCTGTGAACCACAGAGAGATGCTAAGAACATCCTCCCAGCCTTCATATTTTACTGAACTTTGCCTCAAGAGCAGCTGATCTCTAAACCATGAGCATCCTGACAGGAGAGGGTTGGTACGTCTTCCTCATCAAAGACGCTCGCCTCTCAGAAAACATGATCCTTTCTATTTTTTTTTTACACGTGTTACTTTGCATGTGACTGAGAAAACAAAACTGACCGTTATTACTGGTGTTTCGTATCAAACATGTGGCTGCTCACAGCAATATACACGTGCCAGACTTCTTCTCATCATCAAAACCTCCTCCACCCTCTTTCCGGTTGGGATCATTGAGCTCATCGAACAGTCCAGTGTCAATCATCTCCTGCTGCCACGGGATGGGCACTGCACCTGTGGCGAACTCCTTGAAGAATTTGTCATCCTTGGCGTCAAACTCGATGCCCTTGATCTCGGAGAACTCTGCGATGTCGCCGGTGTCCTTGGCGTAGACAACGTTGGGCTTGGGGACCCACGGAGGATCCACTAGTCCTGCCTCCAGTCGGGGGAAGTTTATGGTCTTGAACCACTCGTGCTTCCTGGGATCCTCCAGGTTGTTCCTAAAGAAAAGGCACAAAAAACTTCTCCGTCAGAGGTTCAAAACTGCAATGTCAGACAAAACTAGAGCTCCTACGCTGAACCAGGATGCTCGTAAACTTCTCCTTAATATTGAATCATATTCTGCAGTGATATCGGAAACTAATCTCAAACACAAATGAAATAAAAGCAACTTTGTGCAGCTACACATCAGCTCATAGCCACGCAACACAAAAGCCCCTCTTACTTCATGCCGAGGCGCTCCTCTATCTTTTTCTTGAGGAACTGCTGGATGATGTCTTTGGTGGGGGCATCGAAACACTTGTGCTCCCACTTCGGCTCCTCGTTGGTGATACGGCGCTGCACCTCCTCCTTCTCCACCTTCTCCTTTTTGCTCTCGGGGCCTTTGAACGGTGTGTAGCCGGCCACCATCTCATAGATACTGCACCCAAGGGCCCACCAGTCCACTGATGTCCTGTACGGGGTTTTGGTCAGGATCTCAGGGGCCATGTAGGCTCCGGTACCAGCCTGGACGAGGGAGAGGAGAGGTGGGAGTAGCAGTGATGTGAGTGAGTATCAGATACATCTACACATGATCACATTAGGTATCTATTAGGAAGCATGACATGTTTGTGTGATTAGAGTCTTCTGAGACTCTTGAATTGAAATTCAGTGCATGCACACCTTACACCTCAACAGAAGCAGGGAGTCGGAAATCATAATCAAGTCTTTGCATCTTCTCTCTCTGACTTTCACCTTTAGCTCTGTTCCCCACTTTCTTCCTGCTCTTCTGCACCACTACACACTCCGCCCCTCCCTCCCCCTCCGTTCACGACCTGATCTGCAGCCTCGGACCAGGAGCTTTAATCCTAATGCTAAGCCTACTGCCTGTCAAGAGTTATGTGTGTCTGCACACTGACAGAGTTGACAGAGTTGTCCAGCCTCTTATATAAGTCACGGCCATTTTTGGATTCTACAGCCAGCAACAGAAATACATCCAGACGACACGTAGCCTCTGATGTACAACCAACGCACATACGCAGCAAACTGGCACAGAGCTGCATATGAGGATTATAGGATGCGCTGTCCTTTCATAGTCACCTAAATGCAGTAACAGACGTTTACTATGAGCTCAGAGTGCTCCTATTTATGTGTTCTGCGGATACAGGGACCGGCGTGTGGACTTGGCATGTGTTCCGTGCGCCTCCACCCACAGGTCGAAGACATGCAGGTTAATTGGCAGCTCTAAATTGCTGCCTGTTACGTGTCGGCCCTGTGACTGAGTGGTGGCCTGCCCGTAGTATACCCCGCCTCTCAGCCGGGATAAGCCCCGGCCATCTGTGACCCTCAAAGTATAGCTAATTGATGGATGGCTTTTCAATTTCTGCTGTTAAACTCGTTAGCATGAGCGACTGTAATCACCAGAGACTTCTGGTGCTTCTAGCTCTGACCTGTGATTTAACCAGTGCGGCATTACTTCACCGCAGATCCACAAATGTGCTTAGACAGACCCCTCTGACTGATTAGTGAAGGCATGATACTACAACATCATTGATCAAACTGAAGCAGGGCTGGACGCTGATCCAATGTCCCAATACAAAGATACCCAGCATGCAACTCTGCTGAACTGCACTTCAGCTTCTCCTGAACTACGCCTATTAAAACTGCTTCATGCACGACCATCCAGGCAGCAAACCGAACATCAGCGCTTATCTAATTTTAGATTATCCTCCAGATTAGCCTCTCGACATTTTTCAGCCAGGATAAAGTTACCTTGTTTGCAAACTACCATATATAAACATATTTAGTGTATGTTTTACCTGGATCTGTCAATCTAATCAGGGACAGACTTGTGTAATGCCCACTAAGAGGATTAGAGAACCAAAGCCAGCCTTGCCTGTAGGAGGTTAGCCCAGTCACTTTGGCTGGCTGAGGAGCATCAGAGCGCTGGATAATGAGCTTACTGGACTTTCATAGAGCCAAGAGCTTTACTCTTTGCTCCTGCAAGAAAGTTCTGTAGAAACCCTGCTGCAAAATTCTTCATCTTTTCAGGTCTACAGGTTATCAGTTGGCCTGTAATATACTGTAGGTACAACAAGGACTGAAAATAGGGGCCTTCTGTTGGTCACTTTATAAGATTGTAGTCTGCAAAATCAAGATTTTGGTAAAATAATAATAATTTTTAAAGCTCAGTGATGGATTTGACAGACTCATAAAACTCTGTCACACTGACAAACTTGGTTTTTTTTTGCTAGTTTGTCAAAAATCTTCAGCTAATGCAGTCAGTGTGGTGCAGCATCATAAACTCATTAATAACAACAACATGATATGGTACAAACAAAAAGAAGAATTACAGGCTTCATAAAGTGTTGCAGGAAGCAACTGCAGCAGAGTTAATAGAAACTAGAGGGACATTCAGAGAGTGCAGACCTCTGTCAGTATTCATTGTCCACTCTTTTACAATGTGCAGTTTTGCAAACCAAACCAGATCTGCTCCAAGACTGAAGATGCACTTCCTTTGCACTTCCTTTGCACTTCCTTTGCACATGCACCACCTCTCCATAAAACTCATGAAAACTGGCTCGGTAGTTTCAGCATACTGCTGCTGACAGACGTACAGGCGCTCATGAAAACATCACCTCCTTGACAGAGGTAATAACTAAATCTCTGCAGTCAAGTTGTTCAGGGAAACCTTCTTACAACTGAGCAGCTGCCACTTTAACAAGACCTCCAAGGTCGGTAGCGTAGCCCCTGCACAAAACGGTGGCCTATAAATGGCCGAGCTATAATCTGACCACTAAAGGATCGAAAGAGTTATATAATGGAGTCAGAGACTCTCATTGCACAGATCTTTAGGCAATCCAGTAATCCCTGTCCGGATTTAAAGTAAAAACCCCGCCAAGATTGACAGTCTGTCCAGAACCGGAGATCAGTTTTTAGCTCCAACCTCAGTTAACTGAACACAGACAGGGTGGGGATGTAGAGGAGGTACCACCCAACAGCCACTGGTCTCTGTTTGAACTTTCTCAGTTAGTGTGTGTGGTCTTAAGATGATAAACTGACTGAAATGACAGAATTAGGGGACGAGTTTCACCTGCTCTTTAGTGTATGCAACGTCAGAAACTTTGAGTAACAAAAAAAGGCCCGTTTGAGATTTTTATTCATGATGGAAAATGTTCTTGCTAGACAGTTTCCTCATGGCTCCTGGTGCGCTTGGTGTTCCTAACCATGTTCAGAAGTGGGAAAAAGAAGCCATCTGCTATTGCAACCAGAATTCCTTTGTTATATTTTACATCTACTCACCATCTGGGTGACAGTCTTCTCTGGAGCGATCTCTATGGCCAGACCCAAATCGGAGAGTCGACATTGGCCTTGGCTGTCCAGCAACACGTTCTCCGGCTTCATATCACGATATATAATATCCATCTCATGCAGATGGAGAATGCCAGTGGTGATCTGTGCCGTGTAGTGGATGATGCGCTTCATCTCGATGCCCTTGTCCACACCCTTGCCATCGTAGCCTATGTTGTAAATGTGGTACTTGAGGTCTCCTCCATTCATCAGGGTCATGACAAGGCACAGGTGGGTCTTGCTGTCGTAAGCGTAGGCCAAGTTGACCAGAAACAGGCTGTTAACCTTCTCTAAGATCTTCTTCTCCAACAGGGCCATCTTCTCACCGCCTTTCTTCTTCAGTCGCTTTTTACACAACTTCTTGCAGGCGTACATCTGGCCTGTGTTCTTCACCTGAACAGCACACACCTGGAGAGAGAGACAGAGTTAAAAATGAGGGCTTCTTATGCCAAATGTTTTCTTTCGATTCATTCAAACAAACAAAGCATGATCTTCTGGCACCAGGTTTACAGATGGACCTTCTACTAATAAAAAGACCAAGATCTCTGTAGGTCTTTGTTTGAAAGTGTAACTGAGCAAAAAAAATAAAAAATTGGGGGGAAACCTTTAAAATGTGAAGGTGTTTTGCTTTAGTTTTATCACAGTTTATCAAATCAAATAGATGAGACAGATATTTTAATTCATAAATCCATTGCATCAGATATCCATGACTTCATAATTGATATAATCACAAACATTCCTGCTTTTATGACACCTGAGACGGTTTTTGTTGTTGCTTTGCCTCATAGTTTCTCTTGACTCTCTGGACTCTGATATGGAATCACTAGCGGGATGCAAGGCAACAAAACTGGTTGAAGGAGGCAGCCTAGCTTGATCTTTGTCAGTTTGACCATTGTGAATTTGCTAATTGTCTCTCTTACACCTTTAAGTCAATATTTGGTTTACATTTTTATTCCTTTCTCTGAACACGGGACCACATGCTTTCCATTGGATATACAGTGATGCATTAGCAGTTTAAACAAAAAGACGGTTCAGTGATAGATAGATAAATAGATAGATAGATAGATAGATAGATAGATAGATAGATAGATAGATAGATAGATAGATAGATAGATAGATAGATAGATAGATAGATAGATAGATANATAGATAGATAGATAGATAGATAGATAGATAGATAGATAGATAGATAGATAGATAGATAGATAGATAGATAGATAGATAGATAGATAGATAGATAGCTTGTTTTCTAAGAGCTTGATTTAGAAAACAAGTTCCTCAGGGATCAGTCGTAGGTCCTCTATATTTGCACCTGATGCTATTAGGCTAAGCCATGACAGTATGCCAGTGTTACTTTGATTTTCGTCCGATATGTCCCATCGGTGTCAACAATGCATTTTGTTCACTGCTGTTATTTTCTGTCCCTGCAATCAACACACATGTTGAATATTGTTGCACATGTCGTCCATATGCAGCCTTTAGCAGTCTTTAAAAACATATGACCTTGAAACAATCTCCTGGTGAATCATTTTGCTTTCTTAGCTGCTGACTTGGTGTGTTTTACATGTTCCACTTTAGGAGGTATGACTGTCTGGCACACAACATTATGGACAGCTTGAGACAAGATAAATCCACATCATGTTTTATACTTCAAAGCCAATACACCTCTGCGGCTTTGGGTTTTCCAAAGACTCGAGCAGACGCTGCATTCTATCTGAGGAATCCGAGGAGAACTTTTGCAACTAAAGTCAGTGTTGAAAGATAAATTATTCATAACACACGGTTCAAAAGAGGTTTCACAAGTATATGTAGATGCATTTGTACGCTTACCTCTCCGAAGCCTCCTTTTCCCAGAGTTCTGAACTCATAGAAGTATTTGTCACTGATGGGCTGTTTCTCGTACTCTTTCCACTGGAGGAATTTATCAAAGAATGGGCTCGCCTGGTATTCTGTGAAGGGTTTGCTTTTCAGAAACTCCCGTACACCTTCCTGGACCTTGCTCTTCATCACCTCTTCAAAGTTGGCCTCTGTGACTGACTTGCATTTCTCAGCAGGCTCCCCGGTAAGAAAGGACATGAAGTTCTTGGAGTCGGCCTTGCAGTACTTGTTGATGATGTTTGTGCGTGACTTGTCTTTCGTTGGACCTTCGGCCAGATCCCAGTCGTAAAACTCATCCAGGAAATCAGCGGCGAGCTTGAACTCAGTTTTACTTGCCAGGAACTCGCGGAAAAACTTTTTGCCAATAGGCTGCCGTTCACAAATCATTGTAAAGTCCTTCTCGAGGGAACTTCGCACCGCAGCGCATTGGTCAGGCTTGGGGAGAGACAAGCTCCGGCGGCGTTTTTTCATCTCCTTGTCATCACCACCCTGGGCTTTTAGGTAGGCCGTGTTGGCCACCAGGTTATCCAGTCCCCCCATGTCACACATCTTGGCGGCTGTATGTGGTCTGTCCCCCCTAAGTGACTGGGTTCTTCAGCGGCTGCCCACAGATACCCTCTTACTTTCAAAATGTGTGTGTGCAATTCGCTCCAAAGCCAGCGTGCAAATGAGCTCCTTCACCCAGCCTACCTGCAAACCTAAGACACACTGACACACCCAGTAATTACTCATTTAGAATTAAATACCAGGGAGGGATTTTGGCTTAAGGATCTTTGTGTGGTCTATTCAAGGATGCTGTGCACGGAAAGGGAATCGTAAGCGGGCTCTGCCTTAAGAGGCTTTGTGGTCCTCTATATTTGTTCATGGTGTTCAGCAGTCTAACTGGTTGTTCAGTGGGTTCTGTTGACTGTGCATTAACTGGTGAAGCACTAAAAGATCAAAAATCAACGTGAAGTTCTCCTGAAAAACAAAGACATCATTTAAAAAAATATATATATGTAGCAGTAGTTTTGGGGGTTCCTCTTGTGAGCGTTGTGAGATTGTCAAGTGCTGTTTGGTTTGGTATGTACGTATGATATTGGAACATGCACATAGAAGATAAGACAGTTTTTGAAGCCACAGAATGCTGGTGAAATGTTTTAGCTTCAGCTCTCGGCCCAGGTTTGGCACAGCATCCTCTGCGTCCAGCCCCGTGTTCTTGCTGTTCCTCCTCCCAAGCTCAGCAGAGCAGCTAGTCCAGAGAGCTTACTCCTAATCTGTCTGCCTCTGATTCTGCCCTCACACTCGCTCGTTCTCCGAATTTACCCTCATTCATTAATGATCGCCACTTTAAGATGACAACTACTGTGAATGTTCTAAACAAATGTTTACGTGACATACGGACTGTCACGACTTCACCAAAATGTGAATTCACTGTAAAGACAAACACTGCAGGGCCGACTGTGGCTAAATAATCATCTGGAGGCAAACAGATGTTTAAGAGTTGGTTTACTGACAGATGACTTTTTTTTTTTTTTTTTTTTAAAAAAATGTTTTATCTAATCAGGTCACATTTAACCCTGTTCAGGACTTTTGGGGTCTTTTGGACCCCAGGCCATTTGGTTTAGGTGACATGTTTTGCTTTTCATATGTTTTTTTTTTAATATAAAAAGAGGGACATTTGTCGTGTATTTGGAACCAAAACTACGTCAACTGATCAGAACATTTATTTAAAATAATATAGAAGTCTATAAAGAATACCAACTAATATTTTGCACATGTTCTTTCTTGTCCTGAATAGGGTTAAGATGTTTATCATTTTAATATTTATCCAAAATACCATGCCACACGTCAGTAGTTTCACATTGCAATATTGTTTGGGAATTTGTGGCACAAAAATCTGCTCCATATTTTAGATATTAAAAAGTAATGCATGCACAGTGGTTAACAAATTTATTAGACTTCCTATCTAATTTGTTAAGCACTGCATAGACCATCCAGCATCTTTAATGTGACTCAGTTCTCTACGTTTTACCATTTTGAGCAGGACTGAGGAATTTCAAACTGAATTCACCTTTAACACCCAAATCTGAGCCACTGGGCTTCTCTGAGAGGTCGGAAATGAATCATTCAACCACTAAAACTCATTTTTCTGTTCAGGAATGGAAGTAAACAGGTATAATTTGACATATTAATCAAGACTTAACAACATCCTTTACTATGTTTTCTTTTTTTTCTGGAAAACAGTAAATCTGAAAATTCCTGGATAACAATAATAATTATATTTTAGCATTAAGAATATAATTTCAGTTGAAGAGCTTCTACATACTGGTGAGTTAACCAGTACAGAGACATAGGAAATTATTTTAGTAATTATCAGTGTTGTTAAGTTAGGGCAGCTGTGACATTGGGTGGTGGTCTAATGAATTTGTTAGGCGCTGTATATTAGTGGTAAAGCACATAAATGTCTTTGGTGTCATTAGCAATCACAGAACCCAACCACTGCTTACACTATAACGGCTGGTAATTTTTTTTCTTATTCCGCATCTGTCAGTTGCTCAGCAACAAATAAAAATTATCTTAGCATAAAAAAAATAAAAATAAAACCACAAAAATGTTTTCAAATGCCTGGTGGGGCTTTGCAGCAAGTCTAGAGTCAACTCAGAGGATCCGTTTAGTTTGGCGCTAGAGCTTCTTTCTGCGGATTTATAAAAAAGCCGGAGGAGTATGACCTCAGTCATGTGACAGACGGAGGTTAAACTGGAGAGTCGTGATACAGCCGATACCCAACAGTGACACTACGCACATACAAGAGAGGAAAAGTCCACAGATATCAGGCAACATTGCTACCTGTGTCAGTCTGTTGTCCTGTCTCGTGGCCATTCTGGCATTAGGCAGCATTAAAATATGCACGTACACTGCATTAAGTCAGCATTTGCATTTCACAGTTGCATCACTCCACTTCATTTTTGCACATATGTTATGATAAACTAGCCTTTTCCTTCCTCTGCTGCTATCGGCAGTGACCCCCAACGCTACAGCTATGGTGATGTCAGCTAATTCAGTACGATAAACCTTTGGATAATATTAGCTAATCCTTTCTCAAATGGTCTCAAGCTGTCAGTGCCCTGCAGAAGATCAAGGGCTTTGCTTGCCGTCAGAGAGCTCCAATCTCAGAACTTTTGACTTGCAAAGCCCCAAGAAGACACCCACGCTGATCAGCCGGGGTCAAAGGGGGACATATTTTCAGACAGAAAGAAAAATAATCCATAGTTATCGATGGAAAGTGGAGCGAGGAGCACTGAGGAAAGAACAGAAACACAAGCAGTGGCAAAGAACATTAGCTCAGCTTGCAGGTTATTTATTAATATTTCACCCAACTACGCTATTAAATGTTAAAGAAAGATCTTGCCAGTTAAAGACAACGGCCATAAATATCAGACGTCAAATGTCAGTCATGTTGTAAATGGATCATAGTGTCAGTGAAGCACGTAAGCCTCCTGAGTGGATGAAAAGAGGCCACAGGCTTCACCTTTTAGTAGGTCAGAGGAGGCAGAGAGGGGTAAGCTGAGGGTTCACTCACTCTGTAGGTCTCCTCTTTACTTATCTCTGCTCATCCAGCAGCCATGAAGGGCTCATCACTAATAAATACTGGGAGGAAAACATATGTACAGCACCAGTCGTGTGCTGTGGAGTAGCGTCCACGACTCTTCTTGTTTTAAATGTTTCATCGTCTCTGATCTTGATGCTTGATCCTTGACCAGCCTGCTCCTTCAACCTTGGGACGATTAGCTGCTCCTGAGGAGATGGTGAAGGTTAAGATGGGCAGAGCATCCCACATGGTCCATAACGTGGTCTTTACGTGGTCGGACTCAATCCTCTTAAGGCCTCCAGTCCACAAAAAGCGACAGAGGAGAGAAAATATTCCCGGAAGAGCTGCAGGAACTCAGCAGAGCAAAAAGATATGAAACAGGGATTTTTATGAAGGTGCTTGCAAACAAAGCACATTGAACGGGTTTTTTTTTTTTTAATATGTTTTTGGGGCTTTTTTTGCCTTTTTTTTTAATTTTAGAGCAGTAGAGATAGACAGGAAAGAGGGAAGAAGAACAGGAAGAGACCTGCAGCAAAGGGTCGTGAGCGGGAGTCGAACCCACAACCACTGCATCAGGGAACTATAGACCCTGCTCATGGGTCACCGCTCAGCTAGGTGAGCTATAGGGGCGCCCCATCTACAGGTTTCAATTGAAAAACAGTCCTATGCAGCTGCAGCGTGTCCGAAGGGTTCTGCTCTTTTCTCAGTAAGCATCAGGAGAGTTATAGAGTCACTTTATGCACAGGAGGAAATGAGATATCCACATGTAGGTGCACAACAGTCATGCAGCTCTCAAATGAACCAGACACAGAGCAGAAATGTAATGTGCAACCTCTACCTCATCATCTCATCCCATGCAAGGTGAAGGGCGTAAAGCTCCAGAGCTGGCCTAGGTCAAGAGGCCGAAGCTAAATTTGAGGTTGGGGATGGCCTTTCCTCTGCTCTTTTAGGGAGAGAGAGGCTGTGAACTGATAGCATTACAGTAAAGGAAGTGAGGTGCTGAAGGGGAGGTGATTTCACAGAACCCAGGAGACTCCAATCCTCCCCTAGTCAAAGAACTAGAACAGCTACAGGTGTGTAACGGGAACAAAACACCTCCCTGATCCGAGACTGGACGATAAGCAAGTCCTTAATGAACTGAAGATCAGTGTTTGACTTGGCATGTGCTTTTATCAGATCTGAGGATATGTGTGGTGAACCCTCAGGTGAAGAGAGGAAATGAGCTCACCGTCAGATTACCATCTGGCAGCGAGCTGGCACCGATCGCTCAGGCTCCCACACACAGCAGGTTTGTTTAGAGGCATCCGTCTATCATAACTTCAACTGTCCTGCACAGTCTGTGGACACAAGGTTCTGCAAGCCCTGGAAGTTTCAGAGGAAATCTGTGGAGCTGAACAAGGACCGGCCAAAACAGTCAGGAAGCAAGTTGCAGATTTACAAATCGTGCATCGATCTGGCCGTTTAGGCATTTTAAGGACTTGATATGACATCTAGAGACACGGTAAAGCAAAGTTAGGAGAGTCAGCAGCACAGGTAACATTTAGAAGTGCTGGTGAAATGTCCCTTTAAGGAGGCTCGGTGCAGGCCAGCGGCTCAGGTAGCTGCTGCTCACTTCTGGCTCATCCTTGTCTGAGGTCCACCTCTGTTTACGTCTTTAATCAGAAAATTCACTTCGCAGAGGGAGTTCATTTTGATCACAGCTGCACATCTGACAAGTCTCATGACGCTTGCACATATCTCACTGTGTCATAGCTGTACTTAGCCATATGTTAATTCACCATGTCATATATGTACAGCACTGAACAAATTAAAAAAAAAATCTGCCCACAGAAAGAAAGAAAGAAAGACATTTAAACACCTTCCAAAGAACTCAGAACTGTGTTTGGGGTGGTTCCAGGACCACACTCACAACAAAACCACCCATAATCCATTCACTTCCATCAGAACGTACAGCAGGGCGTAAAGTGGGGGTGGAAAAAAGTGAGATGGGAAAGCAGAGCAAAGAACGATGTCAGACGTCAGAGAACGTACCAGTAGCACTAGCGGCTTGTGCCCCCTAGGGGACTTTCCTCTGTGTGCACTACACTCATAATCCCATCAAAACTCACAGACGGCATCTGTGTCGTCCAGGAATCCAGATCATGATGTATCTATAATCCACTTGTCAGATACGGACCTGGCCAAAGCCGTTGGTACCCTCGTACCTTGCTGAGACACTGGTCTTCCTCTGTCGTACGATAAAACAAAGACACTGAAAGAGAAAGCTTCATTTTTGCTCATTGTCTGAGATCTTCTGGACAGAATCCCCGACAGCCCTCAGAAGTGATGATAAATGATTGGACTGTGGTGTTCAATTAGTAGCCCAGGTGTCAGATAATCAAATCAGTTATATAAAAGGAGAATAGTTCTACGTACTTCCCACACAGCATTGTTATACTTTATCTATAATTGTAATATCTATTATAACAGCTGCAGTTTTATTGATATTTCCTGTTGATTGATTATTTATTATAAGAATATTGAAGGTAAATCCAACTCAAAATGATCTTAATTGTCTTTGGGCAGTAGTTTAGCCAATGTGTGCAAAAATGTCAACAATTCTTGTAAGACAAATATCAAATACAGCGTAAATTCAGTTAATAATGGTCCTTACATTTTATATACAACCACTACATGTGTAACGCTGGCTTTATGTCAGATTAAAGGCCAGATATGGTTCTCCATCCATCCATCCATCCATCATCTCTACACCTTAATCCTCACTAGGGTGGTGGGGGGCTGGAGTCTATCCCAGCTGACTCAGGGTGAAGGCAGGTTCACCTGGACAGGTCACCAGTCTATCACAGGGCTACACTTAGAGACAGACAACCAAGCACACTCACATTCACACCTACGGACAATTTACAATCACCAATTAACCTCAGCATGTTTGTGGACTGTGGGAGGAAGCCAGAGAACCCAGAGAGAACCCACGCTGCATGGGGAGAACATGGAGACTCCACGCAGAAAGATCCCGGGTGTCCTCACCGGGACGACAACCAGCAACCTTCTAGCTGCAAGGCAACGGTGCTAACCACCGAGACACCTGGCAGCCCCCAGATACTGATTTGATTCAAGAAATGAAATCATGAAAGTGAGACTAAATTAAAGTTCTTGGGAACCTGACAAGGATATTTTTGTCCCTTCCTGTTAGCAGTGTTGTAGGCGTGACTGAGGCTAGAGTTGGGGAATGCAGGGCGACACTGTTATAATCACAGAGACTCAGGCTGTTCCTCCTTCTTTCTTGTGAAAACATTGCAATGGAAAGAAGCATAAATAACAGGGTCAAATAGTGATTCAAATAGCAATTCCCAAATAACTCCTACTCAGCATAATGTGATTTTTTTGTGCTAGAGAAACCTGCCGACCTGCGTACTGTCTGCATTCTTCTGAACTGTTCCAGGTTCACTCTACAACAACTTATTACTTTCTTATAAAAGGATATAGTGAATAACTCCAGTTAAAGGGAAGCATTGTGTTGATTTGTTACTCAGCCTGCATTAACATATAACTACCTCATCATCACGCACCGTGTTTGTGTTCTTTCAAGTGAAGCGGATCCTCATCCAGACTAACTGATGAGTGGATTCTTAGTTCATGAATGACATCAGCCAGACAGCAGAATCAGATGCTGCATATTCCATTTATTTCTACATTTTTGAACTACAGTGCTGCATATTAGTACTTGTACATTAAAACGAACGTAATCTCCTCATCGTATCGTTTGTTGTTCTTCTATATATTTTAAATCATGGCACGGTGGATTTACTGTTAAAAGTTCTGTGAGTGACTCAGGAACATCAAACAAACAATCAAAACTAGCTGTATGTTTGACACATTACAGATAATCAATGCAAAGCCTATTTAGAGATATGGAATCTTCATAAATGCCATATTAGTATAACAGAAACCCTGGAAGGCAGGGATTGGGCAACATGTGATGTGAGGCTTAACTCACGCTCTGTCTGGCTCTGTGCTACAGTCTCCCATGCCGTCTCTCTGGGCACTGCTTTGCTCCGGTGTCTCTACCTCGTAATATTTCATGTCCTCCGAGAACTGGTCGAGCACAGGCTGGCAGGAATCAGAGCTGGCCTCTGGTTTAGGATACGGATCAAGGTCAGCATCAGAGAAGGAGTTGGTATCAAAGCCTGTGTCGCTGTCGCTGCCAAGGCTCGGATCGCAGATAATGCCAGGGAGAGACTCCTCCTCAGAACTGACTGTCTGGGTTCCCTCTGAGCGTCCATCAGGAGATTCCTCTGAGTCAGAAACACGTCCTTCCTGTTGCTCCTCGGTTCTCAGCCTCCTGCGGATGATCAACTTCTGCAGCTGTAGCTTGCTGGTGAAGAAGATGCTGCGCCAGCCCACCTCTAGCGCCAGAGATGCAGCGTCAGCCGAAACCGTGTAGCAGCGCCGACGCACAGCCTGCTCCCAAAACTCCTCCGACCCACATAGCTGAGGAGCAGAAGTGAGAAAGTCAAAGGAATATTACACTAAACCATCTCAGAATAGAGAATCATATCACGATTGACAACCGTTTATTTATAATGACAGACAGAAGACAAAATGTCCAGCGATTAAAACCTTAAAAATCAGATTTAAATATCGTCTATCTGGAGATACAAATTATTTTTGGCAGCAAGTTATTTGTCTCTCACCCGCTTGAACCTGCGTGATGTTCGTCCAAGCTGACCCACATCCTCAAGCTCCAGATAATTTATTATCCGGAGAAGCAAGGAATCAGGGAGGCGCTCCAGATAATCACAATGTCCTTGGCACAAAGCTTCGGCATACTGCAAGACTCCACGGCCAAAAACCATCCTGACCTCACCTGGGAAGAAGCCCAGTGTTTTATCTGTCATGCATATTCAAGCATCAGTGTCTTCTCACATTCACGTGACACATCAGAATATAAAACAACCATCAACAACAGAATTTGCTAAAAAATGATGCGATATGTGATCATCTGCAGTCGTCAAAGCCGATGATATGGACCTGTCTACAGGAACTGTACGTTTTTGTCAGTTTTTTTTTAATGATGGACATGAATTTCCTTTTAAACATCACACACAACAGAACTCTCCAATACTACAAACACTTTACAGCATTTTTAAGGACACTCGAATGCAGTTGTGAACAGAATGAGAGAGGTCCCTGTTTTAATGCTGCCTTCCATTTACCAACAGGGAGCCACAGAAATACGAGGTGTGTCAGAGAAGTTTCAGGACTGGTATCACAAAAGATATATTTCAAATCCAAACTACAGACTACCAATTTTCCCCTTCATAGTAATCCCCCTGGAGTTTAACCCACTTCTCCAGCCTTCTCTTCACGCCACCATGCACTCCTGGAAGGATTCTTCAGGGATCCTCTCAGCTCCGTCGTCACAGCCATCTTTTTTTTTTAAGTTATTTTTTTCAGCCTTTTTTTGCCTTTATTTGAGAGCGCAGTTGAGAGACAGACAGGAAAGTGGGGGAGAAGAATGGGGAAGGACGTGCAGAAAAGGGCCATAAGTGGGATTCCAATTCATGACCTCCATGTCAGGGACTAAAGCCCCTGTACATGGGACACCAGCTCAACCAGGTGAGCTATAGCAGCGCCCGTCACAGCCATCTTGATGTCGTCCATGTCTTCTAAACGGGTCCCCTTGATGACCCCCTTGAGCTTGGGGAAGAGGAACCAACCCCATGGAGCCAGGTGGGGTGAGCAGGGAGGCTGCTCCAGCACCGAGATGTTCTTCTCAGCCACGAGCTGTGGGATGCTCAGGACACTGTGAGCAGGTTGTCATGTTGAAGCAGCCACCACTGGTCCTGACACAACTCTGAACGAAGCAAGCGCTGCAGGATCTCTTTGTAGACTGGTTGATCGTCTGAAGGGGGAAACTGGTAGTTTGTCGTTTGGGTTTGAAATCTGTCTTTTGTGACACCAGTCCTGGAACTCTTCTGACACCTCGTACACAATTTGCAGATGACTGTTATCAACTTTTTTTTTTTTTACATTCTGACATGTCATTACAGGAAACCACTGGTGTAACTATCCATCCATCCATTATCTACACACCGCTTAATCCTCACTAGGGTCACGGGGGGGCTAGAGCCTATCCCAGCTGACTCAGGGCGTAGGCAGGGGACACCCTGGACAGGTCGCCAGTCTATCGTAAGGCCACACTTAGAGACAACCAAGCACACTCACATTCACACCTACGGACAATTTACAGTCACCAATTAACCTCAACATGTTTTTGGACTGTGTGGGAGGAAGCCAGAGAACCCGGAGAGAACCCAAGCTGCACTGGGAGAACATGGAGACTCCACGCAGAAAGATTCCGGTGCCCCCACCAGGACGCGAACCGGCAACCTTCTTGCTGCGAGGCAACAGTGCTACCAACTGCGCCACCCTGCAGCCCCTGGTGTAACTAATAACATTAAAATCAACTGAATTTTATTTATGTGGGCCAGGTCTGGAGCTGGGTCGTCATCAACAGTGTTTGCTTCACTGGTACTGTCCCTGCTCGCTGTGTAAGCACATATCAGAAAACAGAAGTTAGTCTTTTTCACATACTAACTGACCACTACAGGAAAACCACAGAGTCCGACCTACAGTCTGTACTAGGAAACACTTCCAGTGAGCCGAGACAGCGTGACAGCGTGAAAGCGTGCCAGCATGCATCACACGACAAGCCTGAAACTAAATCAGGCAAATGAAACACAACCCTCGACGGTTTCATTATTTACAGCTGCGCTTCTTCTACCGTGACATATCAAATGTGGTTTGTGAAAAAGGCCCGTTAGTTGCCTTTTTTTCATTAGTTTCTCTTTTTCTCAGTTAAGTAACACACAAATAGAAAGTCAAGACATACATGGTGAGTTACAAGCACAGCAGGGAATATCAAGTTCTTACTATGCAGCCAAGTATCATCCAGGAAGTCCTGGTGAGACTCCCTCAGCTCCCCGGGCCTGGAGTAGCGATCCACGGTCCTGGCAGATATCTTCCACCATCTCCAGATCACCTGGAGGCGACCAGTCAAAGTTAGAACCACCCAGCTATGAAAAGACACAACCTTGTTCTTGAATGCAGTCTTTTTGTTTAACCCTCCACAGCTTTCAGACACAATACAGAAAGAGACGAATAAAACTCGGCCTGACTTGTGACGACTCTTAACTTGTTCTTGAAATCCCGTCACCCTCCTCCGTACAGCGGTGGCCGGCCTCTTTTTCACGTCTAATTCAAGACGGAGGTCTTTGTTTCAGGAGTCCCACACTGCCCCATCGGCCCCAGTCCTGTCCAGAGGAGGGATATTGGGATGCAGCTCAAAGGACCAAAAATGTTAGGAAAATTCTTCCGTGGAGTCCGAACTGCTCCCAATCAGCTCACAGAGTCGTCTCTCAAGTCAAAGCAAAGTTTTACTTGCAGCAAGGAGCCAACATGTACGGCACAGACTCTGAACAGGTGACTGACTGAAAGCATGTAGCGTTGGTTCTTACATACAGACAGTGAAGAGAAAACAGAAAGCAACCTCCTGCGAAAGGGTGAGAATAGAAACACCTTGTCCTTATCTCACACTCACAAGGATCAATAGAGGTAATGGACATTTACAGCATTAACTCACAGACTTTTCACAAAGATCAATGGATCATAACATAGAGTTATTCTAACACTTAACAATCAGAATCAGAGTCAAAAGCTTTTTTATTGCTAAGTGAGCTCACACACACAAGGACTGTGGTGTGGTGAATGAAACTGGTACACAACAATAACAAGACAAGAATAAATACAGAAACTAGATCTAAGAAATGTAAAAGGAAAGTATAAAAGTACTACGTAAATAAAAAGTACTGTGAAAAGAGACATAAACCAAGAAATAAATTAGGAAACCGTTTCAATTACAATACAATATTGCACATGACGTTGAGGGATTGCACATGCGCACACACATCCCACAGAAGACAGCCGGGGTGGGAGAGGAACTCCGGCTAGCATAGCCCATAGATATGTATAATAAAAAGCCTTTATTACACATATCTATGGCATAGCCTGTCAGCTGGAGTTAGCATAGCAAGTAAGGGGACACTGATTCAGACTTGACATTTTAGAGCTCTACCTGTGTGACTTACAAACTAAATATGAACTCTCAGTCTCTGGTAACCTACCAGCCGGTAATCCAAGTTGTGTGGCTGTAGGGAGTTTAGCTGACGTTAGCTAACCGTTATTGGCAGTTTAAGTTAGCTAACAGTAGCTAACAGGGAGAGCTAATCGGAGAGTTTTGGTTTTTTTTTACGGATAGTTTTAAGGACAGTTCGTCTCAAAGTTACCATAACTTACGTCTGACTTGGTGACAGAGAAATGATAAAAGTTCTTGTTGGGTGCGGGACCCCGTCCGGAGATATCAAACAGCGGGTCTGTGAGCAGGGACGCCATGGCCAAGTTTGGGTGTTGTCATGGCAACGAGGCCTCCAATCAGAAGTTGTGTGGAGCGCAAACTGAACAGAACGGGTTGTTTTGTTTGTTTGTTTTTATTTATTTATTCTTTCTACTTTGTTTAATTTTACGTGTATGGACAAAACTGAAACATTGGTGCACCAGGTTATTTATTTATTTTTTTTAACGTTCTGTTTATAGTCAAATAGCTTTCACAGAAATTAGACTGACTTTATTAATCCCAGAGGGAAATTCAGGTGTTACAGCAGCACGACTATTCAACAAAGGGGGCACACAAAGCAAAACGACAACACAGAATATTAGGGTAAAAAAAAAAATGAAGGCAAAGTAAAATAAAATAAAAATATAGAAAATATAGAAGAAAGTCAACAAAATTTACAAGAATATATAAGAGAGATAAATCCCCTCATTGCCAGTGTCTATACCAAATTTTGAACTGTATAACTGTTTGTAATGTATAAATATCATATCTGACAGTAATAAATATGTGATCTTGCTTAATATTTCAGAGAGCAGGGAGATTCTGGTTCTTTAGATTTTACCCCACTCTTTTTTTGGAGAGAAATATCTACAATCACACAATGTCACGTCCTATTTTATCTAAGAGCTGAAAGAATAACAGCCATAATGATTTCAATATATCTTCATGAAGTTGAAAAATTCTGTATGCACTGTAAAGAAGTCCTTCAGCGATGTATTCCTTTATTTTACGAAGCATATCTGCTGTTGTGTTGTGCCTGCTGGTTGTGACTTTGTGGGACGCTTGATGGAGCTGAGTCCTCATCAGCAGTATTTGCTTCACTGGTACTAGTCCTCCTGACACACCCTGTATACTATAATGTGACAACTGAAATGTGAAATAAATGCAGTAATTAAAACTGAACAGCAATGTGTTGAACAAATCACCTTGTAGGTACTAATGTTATGAGAGGGCCAGAGCACTGTGAGCACAATGCCACAGGTTTTGCCCACTAAATAAACTGTGCAGTAATATATAATAATTCAAAACTAAAGGTTAGTTAAAGTTTAGACAGTCAGACGGCATCTCTTTGCCTGTTTGTGTGTCTGTATGAAACTTCAGCTGGATGTTTTGCTGTAGAATAATTCATGCCCAGAAATAAACAAATAGTGTGTAAATAGTTATTTTTTTCTGTGTGTATCTTGCTAGGCTTAACTACATGTATGTTTTTATCATTCAGACTTATGGGCCATTGCAGTTTCTTGCTGTCTTTTGCAGCCTAAACCAGTTTAGCATAACTGAAGTGAAGAGGAAACAACTGTGACTCACAGCTTTGGTGCTCGTTCTGGCTTCACATTAACACTGACAGAGACAGCTTGAGCATCTAAACCTTCAGACAGGCAGTGAACAGCACAGCTCAGGCAAAAGATGGTAGTTTAATGTTTAGGCTTTATGGAGTCTCTGAGAGCAATGAGAATATGCTAGTTGTTTTGTTTTGGGTTTTTTTTCCAGATCTTTAACTTATCAAACAGATAAAAAAAAAAATTTCCCTCACAGCTCTTATTTCTGTAACTTCCTCACTGTTTGTGGAGTCAGTTATCAAAAGCTTTGCTTGGATCTTTGACAAGTTTAACACAAGTGTGTGTTTTCTTATCGTGGCCGTTTAACCACGGTGCACCTCTAATAGAGTTCTGATTCTGCACCAGAGCTTCCTTTGCGTTCAGCCACAAAAAGAGAAGTTTTGTTTTTGCCGTATGTGTCTTCATCTCCACTGGCCTTCCTGACTTCAAGCTCATAACATGGATGGAAGATTCACCACAAGAAACACGGTAAGATGCTTTCATTTGAGCAGGAATATGTTTTTGGCAAATACTGGTTTTGTATTTTCCTTCCATATTTTGTTAAATATGTAAATCCACTTACCTAAAGGAGAAAGATTGCTTTTCAGTTTGTTAAGTCAATGCATCACACCTTTATTTATGTATTGTAACTAGAGGTGGATAGCATTCATATTTAAACTACAAGCTGCTTTTAAATCTGGTGATTTAATGGTACTTTTATCATTTAAAAAATATATATTAAGGAAATAAACAAAATGATAAGAACAAACAAAATACTACATTACAATAATCATATTATTATATAAAATAACAACTATGCCCTCTAAACATAAGTATGTCCTCTCCATCCTTCCTCATTTTGGGAGATGTTCAGTTTCATTGTTGTCTCACTGCCGACTAACATACAATTCGGTAAAAAGGAGCAGCGTTTGCCTGCAGCTCCTAAACGACTAAAATGTTTTCCTGCTTTTGTTTAAGAAATGGTGAATTCCTAAATGGCAGATTAGGTGATGCTCAGAGTCCATAGAGCTCCACAGAGCTCCACAGAGCCAGTAACACTGGAGCAAACTTATCCTCTGTTCTTTAATAATGTAGCCCCAGAGCCTGTTTATCACCTCATCTGTTTATTGTTTCTTTTATTTATGCAGGGACAATGCACAATTAAAAGGACTTTTTTTTAGCTAACTGTGATTCAAACTTGACCCAAAAAATGAAATTAAAACTGTATTCGTGTATTTGATCAATTTCCACCACGAAACAACGGGCCGAACTGTAGTGTTTTTGCATGACTGTACATTAATGAGGGGCTGCACGGTGTCTCCGTGGTTAGCACCGTTGCCTCTCAGCTAGAAGGTTGCCGGTTGGCGTCCCGGTGAGGACACCCGGGATCTTTCTTTTTTTTAATTCAACATCTTTTTATTAAATTTTTCAATATAACAAACATCCATCTGTGCACAGTACTGCAGAAGCATAGGACGAACATGAACATCAGCTGTGGCATGTGCAGATGTACAGATGACATGCAAGTGCAAAAGGAGAGGATAAACATAGTGAGAAAGAGAGAGAAAAAAAAAAAAACTATTTAAACCAAACGTACAAATTAATCCCTCTGATGTCACTGCCGAGTCTACCTAACATATTATAAAACCATTGTGATAACAAAAGCCATGAATAAAGAAAAGATGTGCAGAAAAGCTGGGCTGTAGTCAAGGGCCAACCAAACT